GACGGCAAAGAGATGGACGGGGCCAGCGCGTGTCCTGCGAAAGTGTATTGAGAATGCAGTTTTATTTCACGAGAGACATTCCATGACAGCTTGAGTGCACCAGCAACCTGCTCCTCGCGTGATGCGGGAGACCGGCCCCCCTTCTTGCCCCCACTCCGCGTGCCAAGGTTCAGCAAAGCCAAAGAAGAGATGTACACCTGCCAAGGTGTTGGTGACTTCCGCCTCCCTTGCCCTGGGTGTTTCCAACGTTGGGGACGGCCTTTTTGATGGCTTTGAAAGAGAAACCGATAGGTCGTGAAGGTTTTCAGTGGCGCCCAAGTTTAGAACACACGCTCGGACTAAGCATCACCGCTATGCCTGGTCACCTAGATCATCGCCAAAGCGCGTGTGGCGCACCACCCAAATACTCCATGCGTGTCCAGAAAGTGAAACCACTGGCGACCTTCTTAATTGAGGGGAGGCAGGTGCCCTGGCGGAACAAATCCCTGCATTTCCACAGCCCTCAGGACCCTTTCTTGACCTGTTTCCCATGGCTGTTTGTCGTAACAAACCTTCGACTAACACTTACTTCTGCTTGTATGTTCTGAGTCACTCCCGTACCTGACAAGCTTCTTGCGCACTCCGAACTGCTTGGCACAAGCGCTTGCCTTACTAAATTGTCGTGTAGCCATTATCCGCAAGACTGACAATTCACCAACAGAAATGACAGGATTCAGGTAGGGACCCCAACACCCTCATCCTGCGGTCCGAGCTCGACTTACCCTGCAAACCGGTGGAATCGCTCACCAGAGTTGCCAAGTATGCATGAATTGTGCGCGCTGGTATGCTCAACAGCTCCAACGGGAGGTCTTCTGAGTTGACACTTGAGCAAGGCCGGGGAAGTCAACTATATCTAATTGACCTAAAATAGGGGACCTTCATACACAAACAACTTCATCATGGACTTCCGGTCGCAAACCCGCGGACTTTGAGGTCGCTGTCCAACATAAGATCGCCCTCTGCTAACCTCGATCCCAACCAAGGCACCTGGAATAACAGGTGATCAACTTGTTTGTTGAGTTGGTGAGTGAGAAGTTGCCAAAACAGACAAGCCCGAATGGTCACCTCGTCGCTCGGTGCGAAAGAAGGAAACCACACAAGGAGCAAACCCAGGTGCCCAGTCACCCTAAAAGCAAAAGACAGTTGGAGCCTTTCTCGGTTGTGTACTGCGGAACCGTCGGGCAACAAGAGAGTTTGAGGGTGGCCCCGGCCCACTAAAAAGCTGGGGAAGGGGGCCTTAACGTTCCCCAACAGCCTTGCCACTCTTTAATCCCGAATCAAGAATCAAACTCAACAAACTCTTCAGAAAGGGGTTGCAACTCCCTGCTTGCAAGAAAGAAAAAACGGATGCCTAAATCCCAGGGGGCTGTTCTTGGTCCAAGGCCTGGGGAAAAAAAGAAAGGTCCCTGAACCTTCCTTCTCCATCTGAACAGCCAGGCTTGATGTTGATGTCTTTTGAAGCGTAGAGGAAACGCTCTTGAGGGTAGAATAGCAATTATCTAACCCTGTATATTTAGGCCGAAGCCTGAGGTCTTAAAGCTGAGACGGCGGATAGTTTTTGTCGGAGACCACCACATTTGTCTGGGCTGTCCTGCACAAAGTTTAACTTTTAGTGGCTTAAACAAACTAAGCCAACTAAAAAGCTAAAAAAACTACTGGGACGACTGGGAACCACCAAGGAATATAAAGGAACACCAAAGAAGCTCAAGCCAAATAGATCCGCCAAGGGCATCGTGAGGCCACACACAAAGTGAGGGGGCTCATTTGACTGGGGCCCGTTGCATCGCCTGCTCCGCCGTGTCCGCCAGCGAGGTATCCTCCTGGGGCTGCTGGCCGCCGCCTCCGCTTGCGGGGGTCCGCTGGTGGACTTTCTGGGCGTTTTGGAGGTAGTGTGGATGCACGAAATCCTATACCACTTTGAAACCATGGCGCGAAACTGTTTGTTGGCATTTGCAGGGGGGTCATCATTCTAGGGTTTCTTAGGTGGTGCGTGATTCTGTCCATCCACAGTATGGAGGTATTTGGGGGTGAGGATATATACCATAATATATACATAATGGAGGTTCATGGAGATTAGACTAGGTGCCACGTACATGACGTTTGCCCATTCAACCCCAAAAAAAATGGTTCCCAGACCCAAACAACCCCTACAAGTACCCAAAAACGATTCTACAACTCTGCGGTTTAATCCTACCGCCAACTTACCGCTACTTGGTTGATTGGTGGGTTGGGGCTACGCGAAAGCGCGTTGGCAGCAGCAGTTGCAGCAGCAGCAGCAGCAGCAGCAGCAGTAGCAGCAGCAGCAGCAGCAGCAGCAGCAGCAGCAGCAGCAGCAGCAGCAGCAGCAGCAGTAGTAGTAGTAGTAGTAGTGCGATGATGGAACGGCCGTGACGGCGGGCATGTGGGCCAGTGGACTTGAACAGGCCTTCCAGGCTACGTGGAGGCTACGCGGGGGCTACGCTGAGGCTACGCGGAATGAGCGAAATCAATTCTGGCCGGGCCAAGGCACATCAAATTCACCCTCTTTCTTTGAATCATGCAAGCTTTTAACCTAAGCAATTAGCTCACCACAAAGGGGCTATGCAAAGGCTACGCGGACGATTATCGACAGTTCCATTTGCTAGTGGCTACGCGGAGGCCACGCAAGGCTACGCGGTCCGAGGAGTAGGCTTTTACACCAAAAAAATGCTGCTCAAGTAGTGACCCGGAATTCGCACAGAACAATGGAACCCTTTTCAGGGTTGATTCCATGTGTCATGAGAAGCCACCAAACACAAGCGGTATTTTCAGGGTGGGATCCATAAAGTCACCAACTGGAAACAGGGATCAAATGTTGCCCAACTAGAGAGAACCAAATCAGCGTTGATTTCAGATGAACCCCTGCCTTTTTGGAAGAGCCCAACCCGGCTGACCACGTCTGAGGCTTCAAGGTCTTATGTTGCTGGTGCTCAGTCGGGGATGACCCAGGGTGTTGGGAATGAACCAAGGGAATCCCCCAAGGAAACAACAGGGAACGTTTATAGGGGTCATTCCAACTCACTGCCGTGCTAAGCTCCAAGTTAGTTGGTACACCGTTGAACCCCAAAAAGGACTGCAACCCAGGGATGACTCTCACCGAACTGATCTGCCTGCCATGCCCGGCATGTTCCCCAGGATCCGCTGCAGGTTGAAGTTCCCCGCCATGGCTGCCTGCGGTTCTTGCCATTTCCTTCGCAAATCATGGCAAATTGATCAAAATTTCATGAGAAATCCCCCACCCCTCTGCTACCCACAAGAAAGACCCTAGTCAAGTCGCAGTGCGGTCAGGGGGGTTGGACCCTATGACAATTCGGAAATCAAGCGATCTGGCAAAACGTGGCCAAACCTTAACGCACCAAACGACCAATCTGACCGGTGCATGACCCCAAAGCAAGGAGATTGCACAAGGCTGAAAGCTTGGAAAATCACTACCATTTCCCAAGCTGAAGTAAGGGGACCCTCCTTTGTCACGCGGCTGAGCTCGTTTGTTTCTTCTTCTTTTTTGCGGTCAAGCATAAATGATGATTCCCTATACTATTTGGTTTCATGCGGCGGCCCCAGGATCCCACCCGCCTGGTGTTTTGAAGACACTCAAAACAGTCGCTCTTCTCCTTTGCCCGGAATATGCTTTGCAAAGCGACAACATTATGGTGGGGCTGCCAGCAGGTTGACAAGCAGCCTCGCACTAGTTGAGGGGGCCCGTCGGCCAGAAAGGCGTGCGGAGCATCTAGCAAATGCAAGCAGGCAGCAACAACTCCACAGCGTTGAGGGTCCATTGGCAACCCACAGAAAGTATCTTTCGAGCTGAGCAATGGTTTGTGTGTGTACCTTCGAGCTGTTCCCTCTTTGCCTGTCCCAGCCTCAGTCGCTCAACCGCGGGGAACTCTTGAGTCACTGGAGCCGGCGGCTGCCCAAGCGCAAATGCACGCTGTGACAGTCTACTTTACATCTCTGGGGTAAACACAGTTTGGGCCCCTTGCAAAGAAGTCCAGGGCAATGCCAGTTCAAATTGCAAATGTTGTTCTACCCCTGACTCTTCCAAAGACTTCAAACCTCCGGCCATGCGCAAAAAAGCATGGCGGGCTTGATTTCAAATGATTTCAAGGGGACGCCCCTCCCAAAAACAGGCCAAACGAGGCACTGGAGGTCGAAGCGAGGTTTCTGGTGGTGTCCATGATAGAAAATTCCGGCGGTTGCCTGAGATCTTGACTTGGTTCGATTCTGAGGACCTACCCCGCAGGCCAAGCCAAGGGCTTTCCCGGTTGGAGGGTGGGGGGGGGGGTGAAAGTTATCCCATAGAAAAGGATGAACAAACCCGGTACCAATTTTCTACCTTTGTAAGGGGCTGTCAAAGAAAGGAGTCCTCTTTGATATCCCGATATCCCCTTATTACGGCACAAGGCGGCACCAGGATAAACGGGGCCCTCATTTTGACCACCTGAGTGGTTTGCTCATTGCTTTGGGGTCCGCAGTGGACCTGAGTCCTAAGCTTGCAGCAAGACTGCTCCTGCTTGATGCGTGTCGTTTGAAGTGCTTTCAAGTGTGGTCTCCTTCTATCCGTAGCCTCATGGTCCGGGCTACCGCACACAAGTATCTCCTGACAAAGGAGTAACTTGGCGGCATTAAATCTCTGAGATTAACCCCAATGCACCAAGGCAATGCATTCCACAACTGATAGGGGGATTTCAAAAACAACAGCACAAAACGTCAGGATCATGAATGGAACACTCCCTCCCTATTAATCAACCAACAGTTTTATCAACCTGTGTGTTTACAAATGTTGTCTTTTACAATAGTCTCACTTGCTGAGTGGATGGCCCACTAAACTGGTCTTCCCAAAAGGTTTGACTTTCATGAGCTCAGGAAGTGAGTGGTTGCCAATGCTGAAGCAAGAAGTTGATCCCCAAGAGGCCCATGGCTCTCGCTTTCAGCCCTGGCTTGGCCTCGATGGCGTAGCGGATCGGTGAGATGCTACGCCTGGGTCGCGAAAGGGGCGCGTCTTTGTGGGGTTGAGGGGATTGTGAAACAAAGAGGGAAAGAGGGGGGCTAGAAAATGGTAAGGGTGCCACTGAACAACCTCCCCGAATCCTCGAGTGGCTGATGCAGCACAAGACGAGGTCGAGTTTCAGCGGCTTGTGAAGTTCCATGTCTACAGGGGGGTGTGCAGGGTTGCTGTGCTATAAACTGTAACTGAACCAACGAACCAACCACAACCACAACACCCGCGCCTTTCTTGCAATGAATTGCCGGGCCATGCATGCCATGCACCCAATGGAATCGCCATTCAATGCAGATGGGCCTTTCCTGAAGGCGATGTACAACACCCACCCTCAGGGAAGCTGCAGAAAACCCAGGTAAACAAAAGGCATATGGGGTGCCCGACGGTACTGGTAAGTGATGACTATTCCACCCCTACATAGCAGTTTAAGGGGGCTCTGTCCATTTTCTCTGTGAGTGGAGTGGAAGGAAGGATTTGAACACAACTGGAATCCGTCCACGTCCACGTCTGTTTGGATGTGCTTTCCGTGGATTCCACCTGCCCGTCCCCTCCCGCTTTTAGTCTTCTTTTCATTGAACCTACAGGGTGGATCCACAGGTTCGTCGCATCCTTTGACCCAACCTAAGGGTACACAAAACAGGATGTGTCCAGACAAAGTACGAACAAGGCATGAGACTAAGGGAAATGTATGGAGAAGGGCCCCTTTAGAGCCCAGGGGAGGGACCCTGGGAGCCCGGCAGCATCACCATGGCACTGCTGGGCTGGGCTGCAGCGGCGCCCGCAGGGTCGATGACGCCGGTGAGCATGTGCACCGTCCTTGCACTTAGGACCGCAGTGAGAGCTATCAAGTCCTCCTACCATGTCCTCACACAGCTCCTGGTAGCTACACAGCTCCTTGGGCCCCTTCCAAGCACCAGCTAGGAGAGGCGGGGGTCCACCTGTTGGCTTCCCTAATGCGCCTAATGTGGGCCGATTTTCTTTTTGGGGGCGTCCTTTAGCGAGTAAACACCCCTTTACTATGCGTCGTGCTGGTCAGGACCCGCAGTGCTTTTGGAGGCGGGTTGAAATCTGTTGCGTGAGTGTGTGCAGTGCTGCGCGGACACACTTGAGCGGGTGTGCTTATGATTTGGCAGGCAGGTGTGCAGTGCCACGCGAGCGAACTTGAGCGGGTGTGCTTATCATTTGGCAGGCGTGCGTCCCCCCAACAACCAAGCGCATGTTGTGTTGCAGTCCGGCTGAACGCAACTGCTTGCCCCGAACCGCTCTCTCCAAGACCCGCATCACGTTTCATGCTGCGGGCCCTCATCAGCACAACACCGTTTAGTAGGCGAGATATCATGCTGTGCGTGCCACCGGCTACCGCGCTCAACTTTGCAGTAATTTGGAGACCACATGCACCTCGAGACCACACTGAGACTTGCAGCGCGGAGCGCGTTCAAAGCCCGTTGTCAGAAATCGAAATCAAGAGGCGAACAACGTAAAAGCAAGAAGTTAATCACGGGGCAGTCGGTGCATGCACTGGCACATCCTGCTCACATCACGCAAGGCGTGCTGTGTCCAACACCATCGGGCGCACCACTTCGGAAAAGCCCGGTCTCCAAACACGGCTTTGAGTGGAAGCTGTCACGCGCACTTCGTGCAACAAGTGCTTGTCTTCAATGACGCCGTGCAGTTGTCACTCGAAGACGAGCATCGCAACGCCATGAGCCATCGCCGAGCTATGTGCTGAGTTACTCCGAGCTTGGTTGGGCCGGAAGACCTGCGAAGCAAGAGCCATGGCAAGCTGTAAGACAGAGCTGGAGGGTGTTAGAAGGTCCGGTCTGCTCAATTGTGCAGCTTATTCTGGCAAAAGTCAGAGGTTTTTTTGGGTGGAGTCACAAGACTTCATACGGCGCAACAAGCTGGCGTATCCTTAGCAAATTTATCCCACGTATCTAAGCACTCCAGGCAGTCACTGAACCCAATGCACCTCGAGATGTTTGAGCACCTTGAGGGAGAACGGGCGGATTATTCATGTTCAAACTTGCAGAGCGGCACGCAACCAAAGACGCTTGTTAATTAGACATCATCACGCGGCACCGGGTCTGCGAAATGGTGCGCGTGTGTGCGCAACAATTTCATTCACTGCTCCAAATGCACTCCAGGATTGAATTGAACCGTGAAGGGCGCTGCAAGATGGCCGCAGCGCCTGCGAGTCGTCAGCTGGAAGTCAGGCACTGCGCAAATGAATCCGCTCCGAGCGAACTTGCGGAGTTACGTTTACGCAGTGCCAATGCATCCCCTCATGGCCCACAGAGCCAGGGCTGGACCGGCCGTAAGTGAGCAACTGCCGTATGGACAAGGACGTGTCGGGCGCAAAGACTGCCGCTGTCTCCCTATGGACAGTTGTTGGCAACAGTATGCTCCGCGTGAAATGAAGTCCCATGGGTTATTTTATAAATCAATACGTTATGTCATGTATATAATATATTTCCGTCTTTCGCTGCTTAGGCAAGCTTTTCCTGCCCCCACGGGCCAAGCAGGCTCTCTCTTTCTCCTCCCTCCCACTAATCTGCGGCTCCTAGGCAAGTATTTTCCCACTTCAGGGGCGCAGTGTGCTCCACATTAGGGTATGTATATTGCTACTGTTCTGGTCGTTGCCAGCCGTCTGGGGTTAAATAAGTTTACCCCTTCTGTCCTACATCCGGCCTTTGAAAGCCTGCTAGATGCTTTATTCGAGGCGCATGATGGGAATGCCAGCGATCATGGCCCTGTCTGCGTTCGGGATCGCAGCGCCTGGCCGGGCAGGCGAGCCCTGGAATCGTCTCAGGCTACCGGTGACCCCCGTTGCAGGGAGGCCAAAGTGACACTTTGTGAGGATTTCCCCTGTTCAGAGACAAATCCATGTCATATCAGGATGAATTGCAGTGGCTGCCCCAAGTAGGTTTCCCTTTTGAGGCAACAGTCAAGAAGGCACACTATATGGCCATGGGTCAAAATCCCGCACCCCCAGTGAACATAATCCCAACTAAAAAACCAAATTGGGTGGTGCACCTACCCCAAAAATAATAATGGTACCATTGGTTTTGACCCACAACCATATTGGGAAAATCCTGTGAACCTCTGGGCCAACGCCTACGGCCAGACCCAGCGCCGCGCAAACCACCGCCTGCCGGGAAATGCCAAGCGGGTGCTAGAAGGGTCCTGAAACAAACCAGCAAACTTGGTTGCTGTTGACCCCCTGCAAAAAGTTTAACTTTTTGGGGGTTTATTGGAAAACCCCTTGATTTCCCAAAAAGTTGAAGTCTAAAGATCCAACCCAATAACAGTCGAGCAAAACATCCCCTTTCGGATTCCTTGCGAGGAAAATGGACAGAATGGCTCCCAGCCTGGGAAGTCCAAAATGAGAACGGAGGAAGTTTGGAAGGTTCTGAGTCTCTCAAAGAACTCTACGCAAAGCCGACCGACCACAAATAACAGCACGTTACAACAAAGGCTTCTAAAGAAGGACAATTCCCTACACACACCAAGTAGAACATTGGGCAAAACCTGGCCACGGTGCAGAAGACAAGCAGCCCTAGAAGTGCGGAATATTGGGTTCCTGCGGGGAAATTATGCCCAGTCCGATGTTTTTGCTCGCGGAAAAATTGAATAGGCTTGCAAGGACAGCTCTCCGCACTGGTAAAACTATATTTTTTGAACTGACAGGGCATGGATCTGAACAACTGCACAGTTCATGTGAAACCCTGTCAACATCCTAAGGGTCATAAGCAACACCTGGTACAAGAGGCCTCCAACGCAAAGAACCGAAAGGGCGGTCGCACCAATTCTGGCTACGACTGTCCTCTACTACCCTTCATCGTGAGCACACAACTCTCCAAAATTCAGGGGCAGGGGCCATGGAGGAATAGGAACGATCTATCTCTGGGCCCCCCGTGATGGGTATAACCCCCGAATTTCTCTGAAAGTTGGGATTCGGCTGTCTGTTCCAACGGTGGTGTGCCGAGTGCCGATCACAAAAGGTGCCCTTCACATCTGGCCACTTGGTCATGACCAAACCGTGGCCTAGCTCGTAGCAAACGGCATCTTGCTAGCCGAAAAAGCAACATGGAAATATCATCCCTGCAAATCAACCATGCAACCTACGCAGGGGTCCCCAAACAGGAGACTCTGCTGAACGTGTGTTCCTCCCAACAGCGGAAAGCTTTCAACCTAAAACAATCTCCGGAGTGGTCCGGAGCCTGGAGGTGTGAGGTTCGGGAAGGGTTTCGCGGGCTCCATGTTTCTGAACAAATCTCCTGGGAAGGGGGGTCGCCCACTTCCGTATTTTCCAAGTTTTCCCACAAAGAAGACTCTCATTTGCCCCAAGGACCCACAAATAAACGGCTAAACCTCTGGAATCTTGACTACACATTGGCAAAATCAGAAAACCACATCTTTCTTAACCTTTTGGAAGCAACTCAGAAAACCAAAGGGTTCAAAGGTCGATTCGCTTTGGGCGCCCGCGCCAGCAAGGCGCAGGCGGCCATGAGGCTTGTCACCGGCACACGCAGGCCGCAGCGCTGGTGCAACACCCAGGCCTGCGGAAAACGGCGCCGTGGGTTCTGCGTTTCTTTTGTTTGTTTGTTTGTATTGTTTGTTGTTTTGGGGGGGTAGCCAAATTACTAGATGGCCGCACTCCTTAGGCAAAGGGGATGGCTAAGACATGCTCAAAATCACGTGACTTGCTTTTTGACCGGTCGAGCGTGAGGTGGGCAACAGGCGGCGCACAGCGACAGCTCTGGAGAACATCCAGAAATCACTGAACCAACCCATCCATTGCCATCTGCTACAGAACCGTTAGTCCTTGGCTCCCCACGAAAGGCGACCTCTGACCTGTGGGTCCGCTAGGGCCTAAAACCGGGGGAAAAGGTGCGGGCTTGGGCGTTGCTTTGAGGTTCGGAGCAACCCTGGCAAATATTGCAAGCAAGGATGCAAGTTGAAAACCCGGCAATTCCGCGGCAGTTTGCAAGGGCTTTGTTGGTGGTTGATTCACTTGCAATACTTCGGGAATCTCTGCAACCCCAAAAAGGTACCAAGCCTCAACAAGACACACCCGCACGCCCATATCAAGGGCAAAATACTGCAATAAGCAACAAAATCGGTAACCCGACGGGAATGGGTCGGAACAAACCAACGACGTGTTTGTAGGAAAACTGGACATCGGCCCTCCGAAATGGCTGCTGATAGCCGTCCCTCCCCAATGGACGCATCCGAAAACTGAACAGCCGGAGGCTGTGTAGAAAGCACTGGGACGCTACGGGAGAATCGAATGACCCAGACAATCCGAAGCGCGTTGTCTGCGGGTCAAGTGCCGTACTTTTCCGTATAGACACATGTGATCTTAGGGTGTACTACAACATCCTTGAACCAATAAAGAATCCCAATCCCACAGCCCGACGGATAAGTAAAAACAACGCGAAATGTGCTCAATTCATCCCGCTTTTTAAATTCGCAGCCAAGCGTGCCAGCCGGAAGGTTGCACATGTCTCTGAAAGTGGTCACCCATCGTGAAAGTGATACCTGTGTGTAAGAACACCTTTGCACGAAAGGCAGATGACATGCACACCCAGAACAGGAACCAACATTTCGTTCTGCTTGGTTTCCTCTTTCCTGGTGCTTCGGCACCCAAGTTCCAACACCGCATCCTCTTTCCCATCTTTGCCCTGAGCTGCCGGCGAAGAGGGCAGCAAACCTCGGGCCCCGAGCTGGCTGCAAGTCTGGAGACCCAGAACAAGACCCCTTGGACACGACTGCGCGCATGAAGAGCTACATATACAAACACTTGCAAACATGCATGATGCACGGTGTTTTTGCTTTTGCCTGTCCTCCTCAGCTAAGGGGGGAAGTGGTGGGCGCAAGCGAGGTGACCTACACAGACTTGTGATTTACACCTTGCAACTCGCATGGGTAAGGAAAAGAAGACATCAGGCATGCAATTGCATCAAACAACTCGCTGAATTCAGTTGAAGAATAAGCCTGGGGAACATGTGCATGTACATGTATATGCTATCTGACATAAGTTCTGATACATAAACCATGTTACACAATCATACACGCCTACATCAACTTGTTGAAGCGTTGTGTTCAGGCAATGAGGGTCCGCCCCCAACTCTACAAGTTGCTGCTGACAAAAACATATGCGTCATAATTTATGTTCAAACAGCAAATGTGGAGCGGTCCACTGAGATATCGGTGCCAAGTCGATATGGAGCATGGCTTCTTCTCAAAGCTGCAGCAAGTCAGTCTTTTCTTGCGGGTACTTTTTTTTTTTTTTTTTTTTTTTTCGGGGCTGGTTTGAAGGGAAACCATAGGACAAAATCCCAACTTTTGGGGTCGCCTTTCTAAGACCTCATGCCCACCAACATCAAGCTCTTGCTGAGTCCAACGTCTCCATTTCTCCCATTCCGTTCAGAAAGCTACCCATTCCTCATGTTGGGCAATTCCATATCAAGGATTCCGGGAAATCAGAAGGAAGGCAGCGCTTGGTGGAACCTGTTGACCTCGGATTTTCACGAATGCAGCGCTCACTGAGGTTCCGCTTGAAAGGTTGCCAATCTTGGAGGTCCAAAAAGGGACATGGAAGAACCCATGAAGAACCCTGTTTTTTTTTTTAGGAAAGTGGGAAGCTTCTTTTAGGCCCCTGCCTAAGGCTTCACCGAACATCTCCCCACTCGCCGATGGACAGCTGGGCCCTTGTGCAGTGCATCCGACGGGAGCTCCGCCACAGCCTTGGCGACAAGGTAGGTGAAGCCGTCGTAGAAGCCCGCGGCACCTGGTGAATTTGGATTTCTCCAGAAAAATATGGAGGAAAGCTGGGTGTCTCTTGTTTTAGGGGACCCTCCCCGCCCCATCCCCCCCGCTTCTCCCAAATTAATGATTTTATGTTTGGATTGCCCACACAGCCAAAGTTCCTTGAAGTTGACATGGAGCCCGAAAACGGGTCCTTGGCCCCGGCGCAGTATGAGGACGGTACCAAAGTTCAAAAATATACCGTTTCCATTCACAAAGTCTGCGACCTCACTACAGAGATCCCCATCCCCGTTCTCGGAGCAAGGTAACACCCCTGCCCCTTTCCCAACAAATCTCTACGAAAGGCCCCATTAAGCATACCCCCCCCCCTGCACCCCTTCCATGACTCGCCAAAAAGTTGGCCCAGTGCCAACTGGCTCCACGGCAATGACTTCCAATCTCCTTTTCGCGGCCCACATCGAGGGGCACACTGCACGAACACGTGTTCTGATTCTGTGCCCTATTTTAGCCTGCCCAGAAGAGCATATTTTTTGGAGGAGACCCCAGCTTTGGATCATGTTGAAAAGGGGAAAGGCATGTCAACGTGCCGGCGCGGCGTTCGCGGCCCACCACTTTCTTTTCCTTGGCGAAGCGATCCAATGCCCTCATCTCGCCGATGAAGGCCTCAGGTGGCGCACTGGCAACATCCCAAAGCCTCGCTTGATGCAGAGCGAGTAATGTGTTCAGAAGCCCTCTTGAGTCAAAAGGCTTCAGCAACTTGCTACTCCGACAGGAGTCAATACAAAGTCTGTACGTGTTCTGCTCGGATATCTTCTGAAAACTCTATCTTGCTGGTGCCATGCTGGTAAACACCGTGGTGTTTATAGTTGCTCCTGCACGAGTATAGCAAACATGTGCCGGTATTCCTAGTCATACATGAGCCTTGGCATTTTCCCTGTGTAAACAACACACACACAACGAAACGGGATGTCACGGGCAAACAACATTCTCAGGTTGGAACTTGAATCGCACTTTGAGACCAAAAAGAACCGCCACCCTCCGTCATACAGAATGCCAAGTTGTAAATAGGGATCCAGGTGTATAAGCGTGTATCGGTGTGCTGCATGAGCACGTGGATACAGATGTGCATGTGCATATATATACCTATACACGTATATGCACATATCATTTTAGAATGCTGCGTTTGAGAAAACATGGAGCCCCAGTCGGAACAAGCACAATTTGAGTAAGCGCCAAACCAAAGGGCCGCACTCAGCGCACTCAAGAAGGCAACAGCCGAGCCGACCAATGGAGTGCAACATGCCGCGCGAAAAGCCGCGCCTGTGGATGTTCTTGGCACCCGGGCCATGGAAATAGCCCCGAAAGACAGCAAACCCACCTCGACAAGGAAGCCCTTCTCTCTGCCTAAAGCGTTTCCGCCATCCCAACACCACTGATGTCAGCTGAGGGCAAAAGCCAGTGTCTCTTTGGAATATGCCTCTGGCAAGGCCCAATCCTACTCTAGTTGTCACTCACATTCACCCCTCAAAGCGCACACATGGGACCAAATCATCGGCCAACAAATCGTCCCGGCCTCCTGCCACATCCAAATGAAAAGGCTGCAACACATGAAACGCGGCCAACAAAACACACATTCAAGTGCATGTCTTTCCCGGCTACAGAGTGGCGCTAAGCAATCAAAGGGAAAACAGGCTAGCCTCCATTGGCTGAAACCCACCAACTGTCTCGGTCTCTTTGACCAGTGATGGTTTGGCAAGGACCTGTGGTGGCCGTGCCCAGTACAATGAACCAACTAACAATATGGGCCCCATCTCTAATTAACTCTTAAGCGTCGGCATTTCGAGGTCTCAGGGCAGCATTGCCTATGTCAATCCCGACCCCTGACAGGATGCCGAGAACCCCACCCCCTTGCACATTTTTGCCAGTTTACCCCAACAGGTAGCGAAGGTTGACTGCTTAAAGCTGACCCCGGAATAATTAGTAAACACGTGCTATTGATGCGGAAATGTCACCCACAAACGTAATGAGCCCCCGCCCAAAGGGGATGTCCCCTTTTAACAAACCAGGGGTTGACTAATTCGGTTAACGCGAACATAAGGGAAGCCCCATGGCAAATAGTCAAAACAGCAAGCTCAGTCTCGCAATGCCATCTCCTGATATAATCTAAAGTTGACAAGCCTTTCAAAGTCTGTAAGCCTCCCGCCCGAGAGGTGACTGACACCGCTGTCCTCAGCGGACTTCGATCGACCCCTACGACGTACCCCACCCAGGCAGTACATACATATAAGAAGCATGCAAGGATAGTGTACACTCTTGAGGCACATACAAATTACTTGTGCACAGCTCTACTATCACTGAATACTCCCGAAGTAGCTGACCGAAGTAGCTGACCTGGTCTGACCTCTGTGTCTTCACTGCCATGACTTGCTGCGTGTCTGCGTTCCCAATGCACCTTCCATCGATTGAAAAACGGGATAAACATGCAGCTTGCATCCCTGCAGGCACAAAGTCAGCCATGAGTGAGCATGTCCAACAGCATAGGCAACCTGTTGCTTTTGGATGGCTTTGACATGGAATCACGGGACAAACGACCATTCTCGCAAGCACCTACCTTCTGGAGCAAAAACAAACGACGTTGTTCCAAATGTGTTCATTCCTAAATCCTAACTGACAGCGTCCTTCGCTCCATTGGCTGCATTAGTAGGCATGCACTGCAATTGAAATGCATCGATTTGGTTTTGCCTGCAAAAAAGGGGGACCCATCCAGGTTGACTTCGTGTTGGTTTCCCCTCACAAACCAACTTGAAGCGGGCAAGGCCCCAAGAACGCACCCTTTCGGAGCAAGTCCCGGCAGGGCCCATGAAAGTGACATCCTGTTCGACTACCTTCTAAATAAAGTGACACCAACCAACCACAAGAACTCTTTTTGAGCCCTTGAAGGTGCAAGCGCTTGAAAGCAAGAAACCCAGAGAGTAGTTCCCTTTGAATTCCTTGCACTTCCCATCATCGAGGACTGGAGGGTTGAGCTGTCGGGGTCCGGGCAGCTTCTCTTCGTCGAAGTGCCCGAACTGAGCTCCGAAGATGAAGCCTGAGGGGCGAACACGCAGCGTGGCAGGTAAATGCCAGGGTCTCGTGGAATGAGGGGTGTTTCCTTTTACAGTGAAGCATCATTTAGAGGGTAGATTTGCAAAATGGACCTAGAATTAATCAGGAATACCTAAATCTGGAGGTTTCAAGTGACTGAACATCTTGACTAGCCTACAGACGCAGCATGCGAGGAGGCTTGGGACGGTTCGAACAACATGCAATCCTACAACTTTCATTGACAGCGACACTAAAAACAAGCAATGCTAAGGATACTCGCCGACAAAGCAACACGGAACCCACAAAGCCATCAAATTTTTGGAGGGCGCACCGCTCCATGTTGATTTCCACGGGGTGCCTATCAACAGGAATGAGCACTAAGGTAGCCCAGCTCAGCCTGCATTTGTTCGCATTTCCCAAAGGCAAGCCAAACCCCGCCCCTTGAAGGATCAACACACCACGCCATGGATCATCGGGAAGCATTGTTGGAAAGCCGGGCAAGACTCGGGAAACGATGTATCACCTATCCGGGCAGGACTAATACTAGAGAGACTGGACATTTGTCTTTGAGAAGGAGTCCAACAAAAATCGCACAGGGTCCCTTGAAGGACAGTGTCGGGCCAGTTCAAAGATCACATTTACCAGCTCTTTTCGCGGATCTTGCAAAGAATGTGGTTTCCGGGAGTTGACTGTTTCGGAATCCTGCCAAAACGCATCTCTCTCTCTGAAACAATCCTCACCACTTGTCGCAGGTTCACCGTCCCAAGCCTCTGCCTATGCGCTCCCCGCCTAGGCCAGCAGTGGCCCCAAGGCGCGAGAGGTTTGTAGCCTATGGGGCAAGACTCACTTCCCATCGAGTGGATTGGCCCAAAGCCCAAAACTTTGTGGTTTGCCGCTGAAATGGCCCAAACCCAGAAAGTCTGTAGTGATGTCCGGAAACTCCGGGAGAGAGAAGTACAAAGATTCGACTCACAAGGCGCCCTTGCTGGCGTGGCAAAATGCCTCGTTTGCTGGGCAACACGCCTAAAGTTGTGCGGCTGAGTGGACAAACACTCATCTTCCCAAACAAGTACCAGCTGTTGTTCATTATGGTTGTGAACCCTCAGATAGGCATTGGACTTTTTCGGGTTTCATGCAAATCGGCGGGGGGGTATCCTCTGAGAGCGGGAGGTTCCCAAATATCACAGAAGTTGAACCATCCCAAAGAGAACTGTGGGAGGAAGCCACAAACATATCCAAGCCAATGTCTAATCCTCCCATTCCGGCAGTGGGCCACATGACCTTTGATTTCTTCGCCGGAAAGTGAGGTTGGGACAAGAACACAAAGACAAGAACACAAAAGCTATAGGTCTTGTGGTGGGTTTTGTTTGTGAATCTGGTATTGCACATGTGCTTCATCAGGGTTCCTCAACGGATACATCCACAAACCAACTGCTTTAGATGGGCATCTGGTGAAGTGACTCCCCACGCAACACGCATGGCGACCCGGGACGCCTGGTCCCTAGAGATCTGGAGCCAAGCACGGCGCAGCAGCAACAGCAGCTTGCCACCCTGCGGCGTCCTCATGGCCACACCGATCCCGTCCCCGGCTAGCAAATCCGACTTGCTGGTCAAGGGGAAGATGCAGGAAACCTAAAAGGGCAAAGATTTGTTTTTCATTTTGTTAGAATAAACGTATTCGTATAACCATGAAAGAACGACAAGTCAACAAGGAGACGCTGGGACAAGGGTAGAAGCGTGCCCCCCCCCCCCCACGATGGAAGGAAATCGTAAGGCCGTTGGCCAATGTTCTACCCTGGTGGTCTGGTCATCTTTCCTCGCCTTCCCTCTGATGGGCCCTTTTCAAGAACCAGGGCTTCAAATCCCAATCCAAACCAAGCCAGCAACTAAGGGTTACCTGAAGAGGCTCAAAGCCCGGCGAGAAAACAGCTTGAAGGCTTGGCATCAGGCACACACTGGGATGCAACTTGTTCGACTGTTGCGCGACGCATTGCGGCGTTTTCACATTGCCGTGCGACCCTTTGCGGAGATCAGCGTGGTCCATGTGCAAAAACAGTAGGATTTCTACACACAACCCTCTGTGGGGATTCGCGTGGTCGATGTGCAAAAACTGCCAAGTTTGATTGCTCGCGGATGAGTATTTGGAAGTTGTTTTGTGGTTTGCGCACGCGTTCTTGGGACCGGCAGGTCCCGGATTCGATTCCCCGCTTGTCCGCGACCAGCCTTTGCAAGCCAAAATCGTAATTCTCCAGTATGCCCCTGCAGCTCAAGCTCGAACATTGCAGCTTTTCACTTCGGTGCAGCACAACTTTTGAGTGATGCGAAGTGTGTTGAGCAAGACCCTTGCAGAAACTGGCAGGCAGAACTTGCACAAATGAATTCATTTTCCGGCAACATTTCTGGTCCTCACCCTTGGCGTCTTTGACGTCTTCTGCTTGGGAGCTTCACCTGGCGAGACCCTGATTAGACCCCTGTCCTTGGCCACACTGATCCGACCCCCTGCAAAAGGCTGACTTGTTGCCGGTTGAAAGGAACAATACTTGGATAGGCGTGCATCAGCTTTGGGACCTGGACTTGTGGATCAAGACTGGAAAGCCATAGATTCAAAAAGGTCGATTGGCATTGGTCTAAGCGAGCTTCGAGCAGCAAGTTTCATGCTGCGAATGCTGGCGTGAATGCGGGCACGAATCCCCAGAGATTCGCACTCCTAGTGCTCTGAACCTGGGCCAAAATTATGTCTTTGCGCAATTGTCAAAATAGTGGGATCCAAAAACAAATGCTGGCTTTCCTTGAGGTTTCCCTGTAAACCAAGTTGAAAGGGCACCCTCCACAAAACCAACCACCTAAATGGCCTTGGAGGAATCTTCCCCAAAGCACTGCCCCAGCCTTGCTGTACTTGGCCCTCCGCGAGCCTTCGCATCCGGTCGCTCATGTCCCAAGCAAAAGAAAGAAAACCTAGACGATTTGTGCAAAACCATCCGTTCCCGAAGCAAGGGTCACACTGTCCAAAGGCCAAAGAAAGGGTCCCCAGGTCCCTGCATTGGTCCAAGCGCCTGGAGATGCGCTCGTGGTCCTTTTGTGCCTCGCGCAACGCGGGGGATGCAACCCGTTAAAAATCCGGTCAGAGGAGGCAGGTTCTTAAACCCAAATGCCGCATGTCACCAGGGTGACGGCTGGATGTTGTTGGTTCGCTTGCTTAAAAAGCTGGCGTGCCGCACTGATGCATTGCAGTGGGGTAGGTCACAAATGCCGGTACACGGTCAAACAACAGTTGGTATGGCTGGGAAGCGCCAAGCTAGCATATCGCTGTCGCTCTTTATTCAAAGGGAAGCCATGGAACATCTGAAAACAAAGGGCCTGCCCTGCATGGCCTGACAGGAACTCCGCAACCAGGGGGGGAGACTCTGTGGTTTCCACACTTGTTCAGGCAGGGGGCAATAGATGCAATAGTTACCTCAAACTACGTACACTTGTTTTGTTAGTTTGCGGGAGTGGCTGTCAAAAAGACTTGCGGGGCTAGAAGCCCCTCCTTTCCCGCGCCCCGACATGGGGCAACATGTCGACATGGCTGGCCACCTCGCCAGCATCGCTGTGCACCGAGATGAGGTCGATGAGGAAATCGGCAGGGTTCACCTGCTGGCCAAGCTGACAATCCTTCAGGAGTGGTCCCAAAGAGGGTAGACATTTTATTGCTATGAGCCATTTGTAGTGGAACATTGCCATGCGGATGGTGTTGGTGCTCAGCAACGCGAGCAACTTGCATGGCAACCTTGCACAGCGGCTTTGGAATCATTCCCGAATGGCTAGAACTCAAGTTTGGCCTCGGCACGGCAAACAGAATCACTACTATTCCTTAGTAGACATCGTCCTTGAGCCCTTCAGGTCTTGCGAATGCCCGATCTTGTTCCCGCCCTGAGGATGCTGACGGTCCACCGTCGCAGCTTGCTGTTCCAAATGGTCCGCTTCCGTGTTCAACTTGGGCTCTGCAGGCATGGCACAGGTAAGAACTCTAGACGACTACATGGTTCAACAGCAAAACAACACAGGATTCCCAGTAAGAACTCGCGAGTGAGTGTTGTGCAATGTTGTGCACAAGGTGCAAAGCCAGTTACCGAGTGGCAGTACTTGCTGCTCCAGTAAATTCCAAGTGGGTCCCTGCACATGAACTTTGGCTAGATAGTGTGTCTTCGCCCCAGTGCCCTGAACACGAAATTGGGTCCGTTGAAGTGGCAGCGTCAAAAATACGAACTTTAAGGGACCCCCCCAAAACAATACTTTTGAGACATTTTGGGAACAGATCAGAGCTGACACCGAAAAGACGCCGAACAGACTCTTTGGGGCTTTCAACCAAAAGATGCTCAAGTTCAACCAAGTAATGTTCAAGGTGATCCAGCAAAACAGCCGCTCAGCGACGTGTCCGGCTCTCTCCTCGCCTTCTCCCGGGGGCACTCGTAGCCCAGGCGTCCCACGTGGCTTAAAACATCCTCCGTGGGGCCGCAGAAGACACAGCGCCCGCCTGGCCTAGAGACGGAGTCGGCATGTTCAGCGTGTTCCCCAAGACGTCATAGGATTTGCTTCCCCCAAAAGGCGGAAACCAGGGGTACTGTAGGGGGTATACGCTATGAACGTCGGGACCCCCATCCAAGCAGTTTTCCCAAAATCAGTCCCTCTTGCAAACTGAACCGGGAGGGGGACTGTCTTGCCACCACAGTGGGAAACAAACACTTGTTGAATGTGTTTATAACCTTTTTGGCAGCATAATTAATCGTGACTCAGATTCACTTCCGACATTCATTCTCGCAAATCCGCTAGGCCGTCGGGCCCCAAAAGCAGAACGTCCTCGATCATGGCCCAGACTGATGATCTGGGCTGATGGATTGTCCTCAGCGATCTGCGCATTTCAAATTTCTCACTTGCCACCAAGTGACAAAGGAAACATAACAGACTTTGCGGGGTACCTCAGCACGCCTGAAATGTATGCCTTGGAGATTGATCAACACTTCAACCCAAACAGCAGGCCCTTCAAACAATACCGTCACCTTTCCTCCCCGGCCCCACAAAACACACAACAACGGGCAGGCTTGCAAAATGCTCCCTTGAAACACAACCCAAACACCAACCAAAAAGCAACCGGTCCTGGCATTTTTCCATCCGATACCCATCCAGCTGGGGCGCCCCGGCATCAAGGTGGCGCAGTTCCGGGCCTTGCCCAAGTCCGCCAGCAGTTGGACGAGGTCCCCCGCCTGGAAGGTGTCCTGTCGGCGAGACACCGAGAAAGGCTCGGTGCCAGTGGGGTCCAAAGTGGCATCCCGAACAAAAATGACCCCTCTGATGGGTGCATTCAAGGGAAGCACGCCCCAAATGAAATGTAGAGAAGCCCCATCTTGGGTTTGTTTTCGAAGGAACAGGGAAACTTTCCATACCCTGAAGGTCGGGAGGCAAGGTCCCGCAAAGTGGTCAGGCGCTTGTGCAAGATCTTTGAGATGGCTTCCACTACGCCCCGAAAGTATCGGTTTAGAGTTTGCTTTGTAATAGTTTCCAAGTGTTCAGTTCTAAAGTGTCCCCTGATACGACTGGAGCTGGGCTCAGCGGGAAATTTGTTGGTTTAGAATTGGCTTAAGTTTAGTACTGGCTAATTCTCATCTAGTATTGGAAGATTTGGTGTGTGTGTGTGTGTGCATTTGTTTTGTAGGGGACCCCCCCCAAAAAAAGAGAGGTGGGTTTCCCTTTGAGTTCCCGTTTAAATCCACACAAAAGGGGGACCTTTAATAATAATAAAAACAAACACACACCGCTATATTTATCAACAATTGCAGTACATGGTTTCATGTGAAAGCTATTGCAATGTTTATCTATTGCTTGCCTTCGGATATTTCGGTGCAAGAAAAGCCCCCTGTTGCCGAATTTCAGACAGGCTTGGCGTCACAAGTGGAATGAACTACGAGAAGTCTCCATGACCCGTTGAACATGGGGGCATTACTCAAAGGAAAGGGGTCATGACTCCATCTTTAAAGGGTTGTGGAGATTCCAGTACTCTTCCAAAACCCGTCGGTCCAGTTCCATGATTGACACAAATGTACATGTCCAGGAAGGTTTGAGCAGGTACGTTCTATACGGACGTTTGAAAAGGACAATCTTAGCCTGAAAGGAGTCCATGTAAACTCAAGTACGGCTGGTTTTCTCTAAAAGAGCACCTCATGGGTTTTAGTCAGCTCCCCCCTTGGTGGTTTGCATTGGTTGCAAGCTTTGGGAGGGTCTTCACACTTTACCAAAAAAAAAGCTGAAGGTTAACACTCCCGAAACAATCCACGTGGCGACCCAAAGAAAGTAAATCTCATGGGTGTCAACTCTGGGTTCATCCTAAAGTAAAGTTGCTTCCGTCTAAAACATGGGACACCTGCCAGGGAATCCTGGGTTTCCACTCGGTCTCAGCAACAGCCCACTCAACGGGTCCAGACCAGTGGTGGGCTCGTCTGCCAGCAGTGCACGGGGCGCCCCGTTGCCCTGAGGTTCAACCCAAGGAGGCAGCCAGAAACTAGGTCAGTGACCTCCTCAATCAAATCCCGCTGACTCACGTCATTTTGCTAGAAAATGCGATATACATTTCAGCAAAAAAAACCTGAACACATGTGGTGGACACAAACCCCACCTAAATGATTAACAGAGGGCCCTAATTACAAGTAATACCCATTTGTTGGGAAATCAATCTCAAAAGTAGTTTTGAGATCCTCGGAAATGTCTGCAGCCAGGGTGCTCAAGGTGGGGGATACCTAGGTTTCTGGAATCATGATTGCTTCCATTCCCGATTCCTACTTCCAACCCCGATGCCCCACGAATGTGTCTCTTGCTTGTCTGAGTGGTTCAAAATGGGAGGGTCCGCAATCCGCGAAAGCCGCAGTGGGACACCACAAGAAGGTAACCCACCATCGTACCGATTAAGGATCGAGTTTGAGCAAACCAGTCAACCCACCAACCCCAGGCCAAACAAGGCCAATAAACCAAGTAGCTGATTGGAAAGAAAGCTAAGCCCCTTAAGCCACCCTTGGGGTGCAATTGGGGGATAGGTGCCAATCATGTTTCTCCATGCTGAGGTCTTGACCAATGTGGAAGTGACGAACATTCAATCGGAGGCCCAAGTGCCCTAACCGAGTACAAATGCCCCTATGAAGTTTGCAGTCCCTTTGCGCAGGCCACACAAGTCACACACACAAACAAACGTAGCGGCATGTTTGGAACGTAAACACACACAAAAAAAAAAAACAGACACTTGCCTAATAGATTAGCAGTGCCAACACAGCCCGGCCAGAGTCAGGAAATGATCTTCTCCGAAAAAGCCAGCATTGCTTTACCCCGTGGCTAACCCATCGAGGCGGGTGCCATCCCGCCAAGAACGTGAGCGAGGCACGGCGCATGAAACTGACTGGACGATGTTTACCTTTTCAAGCAGCTAGTTTGCCTCAAAAGGGTCCTCCATGGCGGATTCAGTGCAACAGGTCTGGAAGCACGTGCATAAGGCATGGACAGCACGGTACTTTTGTGAAACCTTTTTTGGAACCTTAGACAAAGCTTTGGCGCCTAGCATCCCACTCCAAGCAGGCACACAAGAACAGGAGGACACAAATCAAGACAGGCAAGCACAACACACACGCACACACACACATACATATATATAACCAAAGACCGAACAAAAACGATGAAACAACAACAGACGAGTACAAAGACACAAAAGAAAACACACATACAGACAGTGTACACGAACAAAGAGCACCAGAAGCCGCTGTGTCAAAATCATACACCCCCCTCAAAACAACAGTGCTGTCCTGTTGCAGTACTTTCCCCCCAAAAAAAAACACTGCCACACTAACAAACAGCACCAGAAACCCGTGTGTCAAAGTCATACACTCATACACCCCCTCAAAACTAAAAGGTGGTGTCCTCTTACTTTCCCCAAAAAACCGATCCCTACACGGGAACCCTTAAGAAGCACAAACCCACGAAGGGTATGAGGCGTTGCCTCGCCAGCCAGCGCGCAGGCAAGAGCCAGGCGACGTTGCTCACCGCCAGACCTTGACCGGCCGAAGCCTGCAAGCTTTGTGGACTCACAAAATGGAGGACCCAAAAGGAAAAAAACCTGATGGAACCCAAAAGGAAGCTCGCACAAAAAACATGATGGAACCCTAAAAGGCAATGAATTCAATCATTGGGAAGTTGAGGTCCAACCAAAGTTCACCCACTCTGACGCCCCTGGCACAAAGGGCCAAAGCCACGCCCAAATGCCAAAGCGTCAGTGGGGGCCAACGGCCAGCTGCTCCCCAGCCAGCCAGCGCATGAACTCGGGCATTTTGCAGAAGGCTTGCAGGCTTTCGTCAGTTCCTGACAAACATTTGGGGGGGCTACGTGTGTGTGTGTGTGTGTGTGTGTGTGTGTGTGTCTCTGTGCTAAGATTGCCCCTGCGCCAAAAGTAAAACAGCCGGCTCGGTAGCGGAAAGCAACCAAAGAGCAGCCTTTCATCCAAGGAGCTTGTATAGAAACATGTTGGCCCGCTTCAAAGTGGTTTCATGGCTGGGGTTGCATAGGAGTACCCCAAAATGCGGTGGTTTTCCTCTTGGTTGCGCTTGCCCGGAAACAAGACACCAACTCCAAAAGCACACCAACCCATAGGCTTCTGATTTCCTCACCCTAGGAGTCCAGTTTGGGGAGGCTCTCGTCCTTCAGTCTCGGCTTCCCTGTGGCCCCCGGCAAGCCTTGGCCTGGGATGAATTCGTAAGGAAGGCCCTAAGCCTGGAAACAAAAAAACAACAAGCTTGAAACTGGTTGAAACTGAAGTGGTGTGGAAACGTGTAAACTGCAACCTGGTCGAAAGCCTGGTAGGCTGCAATTTTAAAACATGTCCCGACCCAGAATTATCATTACAAGCAAGGATTGACTGGTTGGATTTGGAGGGATCCGAGGGGTCCGAAGGCTCAAAGAGGTGACTCGGCAAGCCACACGTGATCTGGATTCCGGATGCCAAGGGTCCCTAACCGAACTGGATGTCCACCTAGCCTTCTGAGCTTCCCGTCAGTTCCAAAGCAAAGCCTCCGCCCGTTGGGTCCCCAAGCCGAATGTAAGGTGGCGCATCAATTCTGTCCGGTTCCAGCAAGGCCCAACGCACCTTTGACACATGTGTGAATCTGGGTCCACCTTTCTCATGGACGTGCAAGCGGTACCAGAATGAACCTTCCAACCAGTCCAGGCGAACCCAATGGTGTTGGTGAAAGGTCGCGCCATGTTGATCCCGGACTAATCAACCAGTTAGACCATGATGTTTCCCCCCCCCCCCCAACAATAAAAAGGCCCGGATCCCTTCAAAACACAGGGCCTCCCAAGCAACATCAATAAGAAACAAATGGATTCCCGTGTCTAAGCCGTTTGCAAGTCAGATCTGAGGGTGCCCTGCAAATAAACATCGAACCCACAAAGGGGTCCATTCCCGAAAAGGAACTGCTCCAAACACACACACGGTTTTTTGGTTTGATTCAAGTTAGTCTGCGGAAACCCACCATCTATGGCCGCATGGTCCATCTCGATGGCCTAGTGGCTCTGGTAGATTTGAATTGGAACCCTTGTCGGGGCTCGATACCATTTGTTCAAGGGGAAGCAGCAGCCACCCAAAGTGATTCAACGAGTGCCTCCGAAAAACTGGTTTGATTTGTCTGCAAGGGGGTAAACCAGCTATCTGGGAAAATTACGACAATTCCCAGGAAACCAAGTCTCACTTCCTGAGTGGATGGCCCCCAACAAGTGCAAACTCTTTACTTGAGTTTTCTCCCCAGCCCCCCCCCCAAAAAAAAAAGTAACAAAAAACCGCAAAAGAGACAACAAAAACGGACGTCCAAGAACTCAAGGAGTGATGATCTATTCAGCACCCAGCCACCTGGCCCACTCCGGCCCTCCGCACCTGAGCTTCCAATGTAGCGCTCCCCGACTCGACGCTGGGCGACGCTTTCCAACCTGTGCGCACTGGGACGTGGATGGTTTCGGGGATGTCATCCCAGACGAGGACCTAGGCTAAAAGGTCAGATTTAACAACTAAGTCATTCCGTGAAGCCCACAACGGGTTTACTCCTGCGTGCTTGGACCAAAAGGGGATGCTCCACTCCAAAGCAGATTCCTCTAATCATGGAGTGTTTTTGGCGGCTCATACTCTGCAGGGCGTTGCCGTGTGACTCTTGCCCTGCCACTTTGGCTGAAGAGACAAAGATTCCCAAGAGGATGTCCGCTAGAAGGCAAAGCCTGCTGCAAATAGCTGGCAATTGTCCAGGGCAAGGATGGAAAGTGATGGGTTGCTTCCCCTGCAGGGTGTAATTCTCAGAAGATTCCTCTCGAAATCACAGTCTCTTAGGTTCCTTGTTTATCTGCAGGGAAGTAGAAGGCTTGATGTCAGTTCAAGGTGCGACAAAATTAACGAATATCTGACCAATTGCCGCAAACTGGGCAACAGAACTTCACCTGAACATTAACAACAACGCACGGACATGGGCCGGACAGTTATCTCAGTCGTGACCCTTTGTTAACCTCCCCTGTGCGGAACATGCTAGAAACCCCGTGATTCATGTCAATGGCCTGTCCCCTACTTCAGATTGCGCGTGTAAGTCCCATGCTCGCATTGCCGGGTACTTGGGTGGGGTGATAACTTGGCTAGCCAACTGCCTGCCAGTCTGAGTGAAAAAGCTCAGGAACCTGCTTGAATTGATTTACCCCTAAAATAGGTGTCAGGTTGCAGTCTGTGACTGCAAGGTCCGAGAAAGAATGGATGGGAGTGCGGATGCCACATCACAAGCTTCAAGGTCTTTGGAAGGCCGTGGCATCCGTAGCCCAGCCTGAGCCTCTTCAGAAGCTGGTCCGCCGCGCTGACGCAGGCAGACCGGCCCTGGCAGAAGCTCTCAAAACAGATCAAGGAGCCCAAATAAAAGAACACAGACTAGGTCCTCCAGTAGAGAGGGTAGAATAAGGGTACCCTTTTTCTGTAGTTTATTTTAGTAGGGGAACCCCCCCAAAATAAAGAGGTAAAAGGGCGCTACTGGGAGACCTAGCAGAACAAGCCTTCCAGGTGGCTAGCACTGTCGGCTAAGAACCCCTCCTTACAAACCACCTCTAATCTCCAAAGCTCCAAGCGCCGACAGAAGCGCCTCCAGGCGGGCGGCGAAGATCACGGTCTCCCGCACCGTGAGCTCGGAGAAGAAGGGCACCTCCTGCAGGAAGCTTCGCATTTTCAGGCGCCCGACCTTTTGGCAAATTCCAAGGCCGCCAATAGGGGCATTGTCTTTCGAACAAAGAGGGAGTGTATCCAGTGTATCCCAATAAATCTAACGTATGAGAGCAAGCGGAACTTCGGAGGTTCGCACACTCCTGCTCCAGAAGCGCCATGGTACCATCTGGCACCCCAACCCTCAGTGGCACATGGCGTAAAACCGAAGCGCTTCGCCTGTAGGACCGTATCAGGTCCAGACCATCATATCATATTCATATCATACTCATTTAGATCCAGTCCCGCTAGCCGGGAAGGCGGTTCAAACGTGAGAATGAAACTGCTTAGCCAACCTCAGGCTGGTGAAATGGCAGGGATTCATGCCCAAAAGCCAAATTAGACTGGCCAAGATCCGGAACTCAAATCAAGGTGGTCATCTTTTGTGCGTCCATACTAAACTGCCATCACCTCCTATTTGCAAATTTGGCGGCATGACAAATGGCTGTTGGTTGAAAGCTTTGGCAAATGATTGCCGTAAGTTTGGAGTTATTTTCGACTTCTTGCAGAACATTACACAACAAGGTCTCACGCAATAAGGTCTCAATGGTAGCTTCCGGGATCGAACAACTCGCCCATGCAAGAGCTAAAAACTAAAATAACCAGGCTGCACAAACATTTTTGCCTGCATAACGAACATGTACGCACTCCAACTCGCTCGAATCATGCTTGAGTCTTGGCAAGCATGGCTGAAACAATTGTCGTCGCAGGCTGCAAGGCTTGGATAGGCTTGTTTCTTGTGGAACCGCACAGGGTCCCGCCAAAGATCCTGAAGCAAACACCTTACGCCTTACTCCCCTGCAAATTTAACCTGAAGCCCAAAAAGAAACCACCATGTGTAGATTTTGGGAACCCCCTTTTTGTGTTCCATGTTCATTTGGGGGGGGGGGCCGGGGGGGGGGGGCATTTAGCTCTTGCCATGCTAAGCCCAAAGCGCTTGGGGAGTCGATAATTGTCGGCAAGCCCCGAAAAGTTGCTGGCGTTGCTGGCCAGAAGAGCTCCAAAAGTGTGGTCTTCAGAATGGAAAGCTTGCCCTACACAAAATGAACGGGAGTTAGCTCAGGGTGTCTGGTTCCTCTAGGTTTCCAAGCTGCTGATTCCCGCAAAGCACTCATGCGAGTTCCATGCACACGACAGATTCCATGATTAGAAAGACATTGGTATGTATCAGGACGAGAAAAAAACGCAATTGCCCAGTGACCCTGAAAGAACAATAATCAGAACCTTCGGCCAATGGAACCCTCCATCCTTGAGGCCCCAGACTCAGCACCATTGCCGTTGCAAACTCTGCCCGTCCTGAAGCACAGCTTCGCCAAATCAAACCAAGCCAGATCTACCAAGTTGCCCACCGATGAACAGTGGCATGTTTACAGTGAATGCTGTAGCTAGCCTCTTCTTCAACGTGACCTTATCAGTAAGAACTATACCGACAAACTAGGCCGGGTTTGCCAAAAACAAAGGGCAAGGGGAGGCTCCTTGATCAGGTGCCTAAATTTGCGAAGAGCCGGTGCCCCAAAAGGCCCCAAGAGTGGGCATTTCTCGATACTCAGGACTTCTGCATCATTACGTCCATCTGGAAAAACCCGCCCCCGCGAACTAATATGGAACTGAGTGGATGGACCAAGCAATGTCCAAATTGTTCATCCCAAAAGATGGAAGTCCAGGAACTCGGGAAGAGAGGGAGATATGCAGCACAAAGTATACGGACACGACACCAAATCCGAAAGGCCAGTCTGGTTTAAACTCTCTATACAGGGGGTCACGTATGATCACTCCAAAAAAAGGTGGTTTCCCTGGTGGAAAAAGGTAAAGCATCTATTTGCATGACCAAGTTGTACCTTTTGTACCTTTTAAGCATTGTGTCATTTAAAGAAAACATGTGTGACAAGGCTCATTCGCCAAAAACCATCTCCTGAAAACCCATCAAAGCTTTTTTTTCCGGCCTCCATTGCTCTAGGGGTTGATTCCCCATTCTTTTCAGCCATCGCTCTTTTCAAAAACCAGCCATTTCGGCAGGGTTTTTGGTGGTTTTCTAGAAAGAAGGATCCCTGGACAGAATGGGGAGGTTACCCCTAGAATTGCACCCCCACGGCCCGACGGGATCAAGTTTCACAAAATGAGGTTCGTGCACCGAAACATATAGGACTTCTCGTTTTGGAGGCTTTCCATTGGTCGCATGTCTGGAACTCAAGGCCCCAAGGCCCGGGCACGTTTGCGTGTGCCGGCGCCAGCGCAGCGAGTGAGTGCAGCAGCAAAGACTTCCCCGCGCCAGAGGGGCCCATGACGGCCAGCAGGCGGCCCGCCAGTGCGCGCCTAAGGTGGGTACCCTGAGCAAACCATTTCGTGCATGGCAAAGGTGTGTTCAGGAAAACATGTGGTGCATTGGACGATATTGTAAATGTGGTCAAGTCATTTTGACCCCTTTATACTAAGTTTATATACCGTTGCTTCCCGACAAATCAACACGCAGCCCGAAAAACGTCTTTTAGAGGAAACTGGTTTGGGGGATCCCCTTTTCGGATTCCAAACGTTCATTTGTAGGGGAGTAAATGTGGTTGTGCAACTCACCTTCCAACTTGGTGCCCATAGAAAAAACGTCTTCCAGAAGGGGTATCTGGAATTGCATGCAGTAGCCGGCACAACTCGCGCATTTGGGATTCAACATCCCCTCGCACTGAACTGCGGACACTTTGCCCTGGTTTTTCAGGCCCGCCTTTTTTCTGGGTGCTGGTAGCATTCTGTAGCACCTGTTGCACCCTTTAACCAAATCTCCCTGGCAAGGATGGAATATATGCACCTTGTTGTAAGAAACGTGTCGGAATTTGCAGGCGGATAACTTGCGGGATATGTCAGGAAGAACCACGCATTTCTTGAGTGGACCGGTCAGAAAAAGTGGAGATGTTTTATTTGCCACTGAACTTCCCGACACAAAATCCGTCTCACCGACACACGAGGCACGCCCCCTGGACCACTTTGCCTGAAACAGGACCCCCTGTCAGCTTCCATGTTAGCGGCGGGGCCCGAACAAGTCAGCACACCTTTGGGCCTAAGTGTTCACTCTCAATCAAGGGCTGAAGGGTGTGTCCCGCTATACCGGGCCTTTGGGATAAACCCAAGGGCCCAGGAAAGAAAGGGAGTTATTTCACCTCTTTTTACAAGCCATTGGTCATTCCCCTCAGTGTTGCTTCCACTCTTAGATCAAATGTCCACTGCCTCCACCCTCTGGGCAGAATGGTGCGTATTGACCTCAGTTCACGCATGTCACCCTCCGAGTGCGGCTCGTTCGATCGGCTGAATCGTTCAGAGGCGCCCAGAATGGGGCTGCACGAGGCATTGCCCACCCACCGTCACCGCCAGGTCGTACCAATAGATGCTTCCCTGACGGAAGAAGCGAGCAACTGGCACTGGCCAAACCACAGTGATCTCTCTCCTACAGATTAACATGGAACCCAAACCAGCGATGTAGTTCCCCAACCAGCCCTGACAGAGGAATCTGATTTCCAGGAACTCCCGGCAAAGATTCCGAGTTCACCACACCCCAGTTGCAACCGGTGAGGTGACCCGATTTCGGCAGGCGCGCCTCGGACTCCATCGAGCTCAAGGCGAGGGGAACCGCTTGGTGCCTTTTGGATCCCAAGGAAACTTTCTGTTTGGTCGCCCAAGCCAAAAGGGTCGCCCCTTTGTCGCCCCTTTTGCAAAGCCTTTGGGTGCAATTTAGGACAGCTGCGGGCTTGGGCGAAAACACATACGAAGGAATCCCCTACTTCATGAAATCAGCAAGAACACCGAGATCGAAGAATCTGCGCAAGTTACTGGGCATAACGTTGAACACCCCATCTCCGATAGTTTGACCCGAGCCCAACCGTATTGCGACAGAATCTTGATGGGTCCCGAGCTGGTCTTTGCCTTAACTCGTTTTGATTTGCGTACCTCGCATTTGCTAGTGGCTGTCCTTTTGGAGGGAACCCCATGAATGCCATTCGTTGGAACCGCTCCAACCAATGGCACCATTGGACCAGCATAGATGCCAAGGTGCCTTACATAGCCTAGTCATGGCTCCCCCAATAGGAATGATGAAGGTTTTTTCAGGATCTTTAATACCAGGTAGATGACCATCCCTGTCAACTCCCTGACACATATGCTGAACAGAGTGATGGCTGGGCCAAAACGGCATATGCTAAAGGTCGCTCCCCTCCGCAGGTCGCAGCTTCAAGCAGGATGCGGCGGCAAGCTGGAAGTTAGCATTCCTTGCGGCTGGATATCTATTCATACACAATACACATACAACCAGATATGCATGCTATAATTGTAACATTGACAAAATGTAATAATAATACTACTACTAATCATAGTAAAACAAAAAGTAGTTACCAAAAGGTAGTAATATTAATAGTTGAACAAACATACTGGACATGATAACGATACAAACAATATCAACAATAACAATGTGGTATGAACTGCCTTTGTTGCTAAACACATATGTGTGTTTGAATGTGTTTGTCATGACAACGACGTTTGAAGCAAAACAGCTTCCGTTTTGGAGTTGCATTGCGTTCATTGTGGAAAGTTGGTACAAACCCTGTGTTTGCAATTTTATTGTACTTGAACTTGTATGCAACAACTCAGTTTTAGCAACTTCTGTCGTTTAGGTGCAGACGAAAAAGACAAATCGAACAAATATCATCCACAAGTCCGGAAAACATCTCTGGAGAAGTGTTGGTTTTGCAAGAAGTGATGTGCTATTGTTTGCTTGGCTTTCCCTCAGCTTTTGTTTGGTGCTGTGTACCAAAACAAACCAACTCAATGGTTTTTGGTTTTAGCGTGTTTCAATGTTGTTCGTGGTTTCCCATCAACAATTCAAACAAAAGCAAACTTCGACCGTTGTTCCTTTTTGCTCGAACATAAAATGCATTAAATGGCTCAAGCAAGAAACGAGCTTTCTTCACAAAATGGCGCTTTGAGCCCCAATTCACCTCCCTTCAAATCACTTGCAGTATTTAATATGATCCCTCTGGCTAAGATACAGTATACCAATGGCCCATTCCAACAGCGTGCCGATAAATATCCCAAACAACACCCCCAAAACCGGGGCTCCTTGAGCCCCAACATTCTGGGAGCTTTGGGTGGTGTGTGCGGTCACTACAATTGGCCCATGCAACTTCCCGAGTGTCCCGATTCGCCGCGATGCTTTTTTAAGTCCGCCTTCGTCGAGCTCCCGCCGTCTGGAGCGGCGAACACGATCTCAAGGCGGACTTTCCCGCCTATGGCGCGCGGGACGTCCTGTGCAGGGAAAGGCGCCCTGTCCGAAAAGGCGCCCGGCCGAAGAAACCCCAGGACGGCCTCATGCAACCCAAGTTTCCTCAAACAAAAGCACTGTGCCAAGGACATTGAATGTATTTGGGAGACTCCCCCCCGAATAAAGTTTGACTCAATAAGTAATTCTGGTGCATCCATATTAGAATATGTTAGGACTCAACATGGCTCCCATCCACTCTCAAGACGCCCCAAAGGGTGCATTCTTGTGTAGCCCCAAGAATATGGGCGTGGCTCTTCAGGGTACCCTTTTGGCGGTTGGAGGGGAAACCAAAAGAAGCCAGAAGGACACCACCCTTTCTTGGGGTTCCCCTATGTTGAGGCAAGCCCACACAATAATTAAGCTAGTTGGGCCCGGAGAGTAAGATCAACCAAGCCCCAAACGGACAGCACCCCGAGAGCAAAAAGCCCGCATTGCTTCACGTCACCTAGAATACCTAGCTTGTTTCTACTTGGCCAGCGGCTCCCCACAAAAAGTCAGGATCCCGCTTGGCTGATGTGAATTCACCCCCCCCCCCCCCGCCGCTAAACATGCTTCCCCCCATTCGGAAGGTCACTTCTCTTGTTCAAGTCGAAGTGGAAAGGCACAGGTTACTTGCAGCTTAGACCCGGAGGGCCGAAGCAACTTTCGGATGAACATAACATATCCTTACAAATGAGGGCTGTTTCCCCCCGAGTGAAGGTTTCGGCAACAGTTGATCACCGGGGTTTCCATTACGCGCCTCATCCTGCCGGGCGTGCTAAGCAGACTCCCGCTTCAACGCTACCGAAGAAACTCCAGCACTGGCACCAACGGTAGCGTCTTCCGCGGGGGTCGGGGCTGTGGGGCCGTTGGTTTGTGTCCGAACGTGCCCAGCTTCTTGCGTTAGTGGTGCCATTGCATCTCACTTCCAGGGTGGATTCGCCGAAAAAATAAGCTGGAGTGTTGCGCCAAACCTTCCCAACATCAGACAGTGACCGACTCTGACATAGAACCCCCTTTGGACAAAGTCCACCTGTGGAAATGAGTCATGCATCGAACCCTGACTGGCTTCGCAGTGCAGGCGCATCCTGTTGCGCGCCGCGAATCATGGCCCGGCGAATTCGTCGGTGCCCCTGGCGAGCTCCCGGTCAGCGACCACTGAGTTGGGTGGGTCGCTGCCGGGAAAGCTGCCTTGAAGCAGGTCTGTTGTCAAACAGGTTGGCCCAACTGCGGGTTCAAAATCCGATTGCAAACAAGCTTCAGCACCCGGACCGGCTATGCCGTTGAGCCAACCCAATGGTCTCGTGCCATTTTCGAAGATGCCATCTGCGCAGAATGCGCGCCGTCGTCCAATAATCCGAAGCAGCGCTAGCCAAGATAATAGAAGACAATCACCTGCTTGATCGTGAATTTGGCATCTCCCAGGCCGCCCCTAGGGCGAATTTGCAGTGCATGCAAAATACCTATAGCCTAGATACCCTAAAACTACCCGCGGAATTTCGACAAAACTCCGCCGATTTCCTCCGGCACTGCTCGCCGGGAAGTCGGAAATCGTCCTGGCAAACGCTGGTTGACTTGGATTGGAGGGGCGCGTGAGCCTAAAAACACGGATCACCAAACGAACAGCAACCAGATCGGCCCCCGGTTTGCACAAAATCGGCCCTGGAACTTCTTGCCAGAACTGCGCCAACAAATACGAGCGGGCGAACGTGTACATGTTAGCTTAATCTTGGTATGCAAAGGCAATGATGTCTGGTCTTGATGGAGAGGTTCCATGCCCCCCCCCCCCTTTGCTCCATGAAAGAGCCACGAACATGACGCCCCCCCAATGAATAGTGAACATCCCCCTTTCAAACCCAGGGGGGGGGGGGGTCCGTTGAGCCTCAAAACTGAAATATGACTTGTTCTTGGTACCTATGGTACCTCGCAAATGAAGGATGAAGGATGACAGGTTGGCCAGTCGGCATCATCAAAAGGCAAGATTTCAACATCACATGTTGCAGAAACAGTAACACATGTTGAGTCTTTGAGGCATCATGCTGCATGTGATTCATGCAAGCATGGCAGGTCATACTCAGCAGCAATGCTCCGCCAACTCTGTAAATCCGGGTATGTCATCTTATACAGGTCATGTATTCATTGTTGCTATTACGAATGTCAGAACATGCCTGCAAATCCCACACATGATTTTCATGCATTGTATTTTCGCGGTAGGCCCTGCCCCTCTCTACCATGAGTTGGGAGTCCCAAATGCAGCGTATGTCCCGCCCCATGTACCTCAGTTGCGCCTCAACCTCCCTGGGAACGTCAAGAAAAGGTAGAATTAACTGAAATTACCCTTTGTTGATCTCAAACGAGCCGGAGACTAACTCTGCGGGGTCTTTGCATGTGATTTTGGGGGAAATCCAAAAGCAATCCGCACATTCATCATTCAAACACGATCCCTTCAATCATCGAAGCCCAAAGCACCGTCTGTGGCCCTTGAGTGAGGGCTGCAAAAATTGCCAAAATGCAAACAATGGAAAATCAGCAATCCACATGTGAGGAACCCATCCCGGATGAGCTCCAGCTTGTTCTATGTGCGCAGTCGAACCTAGATCGTATGCTTTCAAATCTTGAAGTAGTCGATTGGCGCACGGTGCCCAAACCTTTGGGAGTGATGTATATCATATATATGTACATATCCAAAGAGGAGGCAGCTAGCCAACGGACTATAGCTCAGTCTCAAGGGGGGAGGAGAATCAGGTTCTTAGATTTTCTCGGGTAATCTCAGCGAGGCTTCTGAACAAACAGGATGTCCTCCTTGAGCCAAACACCCTTCGGCCCATGTTGCGTGAGCGGTTCGATGCCCTGACAAAATACCAGCAGCCTGCAACACGACTCTTCTTTTCTAGGTTCATTGGGTGCAATTCTCCCCCACTTCCCCTGTTTCCACCAAGCAAGGTCAGTTTTGGAAGACCCCAAACTGTTGAGATTTCAGGCACCCGAGATGGCGGTCCTTCATAGATCTCAAGAGCTGTGCACTGCTCAGTAGTCCTCAGGGCGAACTGGTTTCGGTGCACTCAAGCGGAAAAAATGTTTTACCTATGACGACCGTACTTCCCACAAACAGAGACACCAGCGGGAGCGTACCTGAGAGGGTAGGCAAAGCAATCTCGATTCCTAGTCAGGTGCCATGGCAACATGGGGATGGTAAGTTGACTCACTTGGCCGCGAGCCACTTGCAGCGAGGCACCGACAAAATATCCGCAAGCAGTTGTCCAAATCATCCACTTGGTGCTGTTTAGATCAAACATAATACGCTGTCGGAACATTATCTTCATGTGGGTCTGAAATTAACTGCTGCCTTCAAATGCATGTCTCTACTGCTATGAACAGCTGACATCTGAGACGCTCCCACGAATACGGACCATGACATCTACATGCCCTCTTCCAAACAGCAGGTCTCTGTCATGAGGCTGTATTTATATACCATGAATGACTTATGCATGTCGAGAAGCATTAAGTTTCCGGACAGCTGGCAATATGCTTGTCCTACTGCTTCACAACTCAGAGCGTCAGAGCGTCAACCATGATTCAGTCTGACGCTGATTAAAAATTGTATTTGTTGGGTTTGGCTCTATTCAAGTTTACGGGTCGTTGCCATGCAAAAGCTGACTTATGCTCACTTACAAAGTCAAAGTGGGTTCAACATCCAAGCTTCACAAGACCTATTGTTTTTGGTGAGTTCTGGTGCACTGCCGAGCTACATGGTCGTGGCTAAAGGCACGAAACCGCTGCCGAGCGGACAGAGGCGAAAGGCACCCAGCGACTCGACCACCGTCCAACCCCCAGGACTCAGGGATTCACACGCAACTTTCGCGCAACATAACCAACCAAACATTCAAATCAGTGCGGTCGTGTTGCCCCTAGAATTGGAAAGGGTACCAACTAAGACACAACCCAACACTCACAAGAACCTGCCCCGGCTGGCACAGCAAGCTTGGCAGGTCCGAAGTCACTACCCCGCGCCTTGCGGGTGCTCCCGCGAGCCTCACGCGCCTGGCATGATTGTATGGTGGTTGTCTGCGCAGGGGAGGCCCAAACTCTCACTTCCTGAGCAGATTGCCCAAACAAGAGCCAAACTGAACTTGCAGTTTACCGCCAAAATGGACGTCCCCATTCCTGCAGCTGAAGCTAGAATGGGGAACCCCATGTTGCGAAATGGTTGGTTGCCCTTTGTGGGTCCCTTGAAAATAAATCCCAAAAGGATAACCTCACAGAAAGACACTGCCAACCAATCGTTTGGCATTCGGAAACTGCCTTGGCTGGTGATTGGTGGATGCCCAGCCATTCAATGATAGACTATACACATGTCGTTATTTCCGTGTTCACACTGCATTCAAGCTTTGTGCATGTCTCTCTCTCTCTCTCACTCTCGCTCTCTCTCTCTCTCTATGTGCAGGTTCCAAGAAGAATCCAGCTTCCAAACGATGCTGAGAGCCGGCCGAGTCGACGTTACAGCCGCAGGATATCATGGCTGATAGGGCCAACGAAGGAAACCCAGTCACCTGAATGCCAAGTTTAAGGAAACCCACGCCCTCGAACTCTCAACCTGTAGCTTCCATGTTGCAACTGGCTGAGTCTGGGAACAGGACGCCATTCAACAGAAGCTTTGTGTTCAGGCAATAGCTGGCGGTGTTTCCCCAACCCGGAGTGAAGCTGCAGTCATTCTGGGCTCAACTGCACACATTCCCGCAGAAGACACTCTGTAAGGATCCGTGTTTCATTTTGTTGGTTTGCCGTTCTCACGCAAGGAAGAAAACCCGGTGGTGGAAAACAATTCGCACAGTGGACATATTGGGCGAGCCCCATGACTATTGTTCACTTTGAAGGGACCTGTTTGCATTGAGGAACAGTTGCCCCTGCAAAGCCCAATGTCTGGGAAAAGTTCCCTGACCATTTTAGAGGATTCAAAACGACCCCTTGAGGGTTGAATATAAGTCCTTCAAAATCACTTAGAACTACTTCCGCCGGGGGTGGTGTGTTGGGAGGGTAGTGTGGTGGGCGAGGGCTGTCATGAGTCTAGGAAAGCGGGTCTCAGAATCTGCCTAGGCGCGCCGGGGGTGGTTGTTGGGAGGGTAGTGTGGTGGGCGAGGGGTGTCATGAGTCTAGGAAAGCGGGTCTCAGCGTCTGCCTAGGCGCGCTGGGGGTGGTTGTTGGGAGGGTAGTGTGGTGGGCGAGGGGTGTCATGAGTCTAGGAAAGCGGGTCTCAGAATCTGCCTAGGCGCGCCGGGGGTGGTGTGTTGGGAAGTCTAGGAAAGCGGGTCTCAGAATCTGCCTAGGCGCGCCGGGGGTGGTGTGTTGGGAGGGTAGTGTGGTGGGCGAGGGCTGTCATGAGTCTAGGAAAGCGGGTCTCAGCGTCTGGGGTGGTTGTTGGGAGGGTAGTGTGGTGGGCGAGGGGTGTCATGAGTCTAGGAAAGCGGGTCTCACAATCTGCCTAGGCGCGCCTAGGGGTGTCTAGGTCTCAGAATCTGCCTAGGCGCGCCGGGGGTGGTGTGTTGGGAGGGTAGTGTGGTGGGCGAGGGGTGTCATGAGTCTAGGAAAGCGGGTCTCAGAATCTGCCTAGGCGCGCCGGGGGTGGTGTGTTGGGAGGGTAGTGTGGTGGGCGAGGGGTGTCATGAGTCTAGGAAAGCGGGTCTCAGCGTCTGCCTAGGCGCGCCGGGGGTGGTGTGTTGGGAGGGTAGTGTGGTGGGCGAGGGGTGTCATGAGTCTAGGAAAGCGGGTCTCAGAATCTGCCTAGGCGCGCCGAGGGTGGTGTGTTGGGAGGGTAGTGTGGTGGGCGAGGGGTGTCATGAGTCTAGGAAAGCGGGTGTCACAATCTGCCTAGGCGCGCCGGGGGTGGTGTGTTGGGAGGGTAGTGTGGTGGGCGAGGGGTGTCATGAGTCTAGGAAAGCGGGTCTCAGAATCTGCCTAGGCGCGCAGGGTGGTGTGTTGGGAGGGTAGTGTGGTGGGCGAGGGGTGTCACGAGTCTAGGAAAGCGGGTCTCAGAATCTGCCTAGGCGCGCCGGGGGTGGTGTGTTGGGAGGGTAGTGTGGTGGGCGAGGGGTGTCATGAGTCTAGGAAAGCGGGTCTCAGAATCTGCCTAGGCGCGCCGGGGGTGGTGTGTTGGGAGGGTAGTGTGGTGGGCGAGGGGTGTCATGAGTCTAGCGCGACGGGGGTGGTGTGTTGGGAGGGTAGCGTGGTGGGCGAGGGCTGTCACGAGTCTAGGAAAGCGGGTCTCAGAATCTGCCTAGGCGCGCCGGGGGTGGTGTGTTGGGAGGGTAGTGTGGTGGGCGAGGAGGTCTCAGAATCATTCTAGGCGCGCCACTTTCCACTTGCCAGGCCTTCGCCTTCTTCCTAAGCTTCACTTCGCCTTGGATCCACAAAGCACTTGGCCAAAGTTCCGAGCCCCGGCACAAAGTGAACTTCGTTGAATAGAAAACAACCGGAAACGGCAAAAGGGCCAACAAGTTAGCTGAGTCTGGCAATCAGCCGTGGCCAAACTGCTCTGCCAAAAGCGAATAAATCAGCTCTGCCAGGCGGGGAAACATGACTTTCCAACTTCAAAGGTTGACAGGGGGTCCAAGCAGCGAAGCGACCAAGAATTTATCTCGTTGAGCACCTCACTCGATTAACCAAAGTCACTGAGACCGGCTTGCCAAAAATCAATGCACTTTCGAAACCCTTTGAAGGCGTCCACCGGTGTGCAACTCGAATATGAGGCACCAGGATTGTTTTGCCCCCCCCCCGCCCCATCACCGACCAGGGAATCCCATTGTTGGTGAGGAGTGATCTTTCGGGGAACTCCCCTTTCCACAAACATCGGTTGCTGCACTCACTCTGGCCATTGCACCCTGCGCAAGTTTGACATGGCAAGTGGGAAGGTACCTGCTTGGCAAGCGACAAAGAACCCTCGGGTGGCTTAGGGCTTTTGGTTCCCTTTTATTGCCAACAACAAGGATATTTGAAACATAACTCATTTGGGTCTATCTTTTGTTGAGGGTACCGCTCTTGGTTGGCTTTAAGGGAAGCCAAAAGGAACTCCATTTTGAGGGGGGCCCTAGCTTGAGACCACCCCATTTTAGAGAGAATCACTGAACAATTGTGGCCCCAGGCTCCGTTCTGAGGTGCCCGCCGGGGGGGCAAAGGTGACAACGTCCACAGCTCCTCCCGTTGTGGCCTTAAGACTGCCATGGGAGGGAGTCCTAAAGTCATCAGCCCTGGCGTATGTAACTCTCTTTCTATCGTTCCATCTATTGTTCTATCTATTGTTCTATCTATTGTTCTATCTATTTGTCTATCTATCTATCTATCTATCTATCTATCTATCTATCTATCTATCTATCTATCTATCTATCTATCTATCTATCTATCTATCTATCTATCTATCTATATGTGTATATATGTGTTAATGTATGTCAATATACGTACGTACGTTTGTATGATGTATGCATGTATTTATGTATGTATGTATGTATGTATGTATGTATGTATGTATGTATGTATGTATGTATGTATGTATGTATGTATGTATGTATGTATGTATGTATGTATGTATGTATGTATGTATGTATGTATGTATGTATGTATGTATGTATGTATGTATGTATATGTGACCAGATGCCCACGTATGTGGAGGTTCACGCATTGAGCATGGGCAGGCGGCCATAGCCGGGCGTATGTTGTACGAGGATTGCCCACAAAACTTCGAGTCGTAAGATGAGTTCCTTCTGAGAGAATCTTAGTCTCCCCTTGGTTGGTAGCCACCAACTAAGGGTTACGTGACAACCAATACACCTCACAAACAACCGGTAAAATACCCAACAACTGGAACACGCCGCACAAAACAAAACAAAAAACAAGACATACGACCCCAATTCAAGTGGGATACAGGAGAGTCTCTTGGCAGTTAATTGCGGGGCTAGGGTGAACCAAGCCTCCTTCAATGAACTGTGGCGAGACGATTGTTAACCCCCGCTGAAATAGTGACCCCTGGCCCAAGAAACAGCACATGGGATAACCATCAACTCATCAACCCAACACACAACTCCACCCCAAGCAAATCCTGAACAACATTGGACTTAAACAAAGGAAGTGCGGAGACTACGTGCAACTTTCGGAGGGAGGATTTAACAAACTACCAAAACAATCCCACAAGACGGGGAGCACTTGAGGAGGTAAAAGACACATTGTTTGGCCCCTCCTAAAGAATGACTTGTTGCAGCTCCTCCCCCAAAATAGATATGTTCAACCCTGAATGCTCAAACAAAGCTGTTTGAGTCTAATCTCAAATATGGTTGAAGCAAACCAACCAACAATCACACCCCCTACTGCAGTCCGATCCTGCACAGTTTCAAAGTTCATTTAAACACCTAGCCCTAACCAAGCCCACAAAGGGGGAAGTACTCGGGGAGGAGAAAAAACACTCCCGCGAAATAATCATTTGTTGCAGCTCTCCCAGCAATACGCAATCAAATGGAGAATCATATCCAGCTACCAAATCGAATGGATAATCCAATCCAGCAATCCGGCAATCCAGCAATGCAAAATTCTGCAAATGGAATCTCAAGAAGCTCCAGCGCTACTAAGTAAAACGGAACTCAAACTTGGCCCCAGCAAAACAACCGAATTCGATTCAAAACCCACTGCTTTGGCAGGGGTGATCATCGATTTCAGGGGATCCATTGTTGAGAGGAGGGGAAGGGCACAAAGGGCGGAACACTTCAGAAACCATCCTGACACCGACCTCGCCCAAGTCTCAGTTCTGACTCTCCTGAAGCACAACTTGGGACGGTAGCTTTACAGTGTGAAGGAAGGTCATGACGTCCTTCCCACGCTGTTCGCGCAAAAACCAGACCCTCGCCAACCGCTCCAGTCGGCCAAGGACGGAGAGGATGGCAACCCAAAAAAAAACAGTTTCAAACAGGAGCCGAACACCTGACTGCGCCTAGCAATCACTGTCAGGTCCCCCAACCTGCGCATTTCTTGTTTAAGCCCTGGTGAGCTTTCCCACCTCAAAACAGCGTGGGATGCTTTTGACACCAAACGAACAGCACCGGGCCATGTGCCAGTTCCAGCGCTTAGCGCTCTCCACTGTTGAGGCCGGGGCAGCCCTGCGGCTTCCACACCCAGGCGCAAGGGCTGCAACTCCCTGGCGTCCGAGTTGACCCGCATGGGTTCCAAAAGATGGGTGTGCTTTTGAGGGTCCCTTTTGGGGGTGGATGAAAAAGGGAAGCCAAAAGGAAAACCACGTTTTTTGAAGGCAACCCCCATTCTGACACATACCCAAATTTTGGTTCCGCGCAAGCGATCGGAACCCGATGGGGAACCTTTGGGATTGGACCTCTTTAGGGGTTCCATGATCGGTGAATTCCCCGACTACGCACTGACTCGGAGAAGCCAACCACCTGGGTTTTCTGAACCACTCATTTTCCACAATGGCCTGATGCATGGGGCAACTCGCTGACTCCAAGGACCGGACAATACACACAATGTTCTGCGGAACTACGACGGCAGAACTGGTAAACCAAAGTGGTTTAAAGGGAAACCAAGAGGAAAACCGCACGGTTGAGGGGTCCCCCGACCTCAAGCCAGTAAACCCCCCAAATTATGCATTCAAATCTGCCCAAAAGCCAAAGTTTGAACCCCCGCCCCCTCCAAGAAACATGCCGAGCCCCCGCAATAAAAACACTCGGATTGTTCTCAGAAACGGCGCGAGAAACTCCTCTCACGGTTTTTCCCGCCGGAATCGTGGCCTTTGGCATGGAGCACAGAGCCCAGGGATGGCAGCTCAGACATCGCGGCCACCTGGCTGAGAGACCCGAAGGTAGTGCTAAATGCTCTGGAAAAACTGTGCAAAATACGCGGAAAATCCCATCCACGCTTGGTTTTCCTTTGAGAAATCTAGACAGTATGGCCTTTTTAGCGCCCAGTAGAGAAAGGGCACTGTTCCTTCGTGGAATTCACGAGTTTTGCTGCCCAGGACGAAAAGGGGAAAGCCCGTTTTGAGGTCGACTACGTGACTAATAAGAAACCCACCATATTATGGGTGGTCTTCTAAGTCAAGCCGACTTTCTCCAGTTGCAAGCAGTGATCTTGGGAGAAAGGTAGTTGGAAAGGGGAGCCCGCCAAGCTGAGCGTGGGATCTATTTCCATCCCTCACGGAAGAGAAACACAAAACACCCGCAACACGTACTATGGTCCGTTTCAACACAACGCCCGCGTGCAACACGGCATAATCATGGTGAAATCACCAAGATATGAATTGTGTTTTACAACTCTCGCCCGTTTTGGACAAATGCTCACCGGGAGACTCTCTCTTAATTGTCCAAGCCTCCTGGTATTGGGCCTTGTTTGGCGCTATTGGACGAAAGTTGTGTTGGTGTCGGCCCCTAGCCCTTCTTCAATTAAAGGTCGATTGCTGAAAGGAATGCCTGGGCCTGACAGCGGGGATGCACCTTGCACCACCGTCTAGGTTTGGAAATTCCAAGAGTTGATGTCGGAGAACGCAGCCTCAGCAGGTGGTCATTAAATACTTCTGAAATTGGGGTGTTCTCGAGGCTGTTAATAAAGACCGAATCCATGAGAATGACCCAGGTGCAGGTAGAATCTCCCCCCGCCATTCATCAGAGGTCCTGCTTTTATTTTTTTTTTATTTTTTCGGGGCACATCCCGAGAAATCATTCAGCGGATTGTCACGTGGGGGAACTTGGTCAGGCGTCGTGTCTGATGGTGTTGGCTATCTGACTATCTTTACGAAGTCTGATAAGGAGTGAGACCCTATTTGAACAGTGACGGGTCAGGTGGCAAGGGGATCCTATGAGATTCGAGAGCCCTTTGTCCAAGCACCACAGTGGACGGCTGTCAGAAGATCAGGCTCCAGAGGGGAACCTGTCTTGGATGGCCAAGAGGGGAATCGCAAAAGAAAACCAACCGGTTTGTCGGTTTCGCACTTTCATGGAAGCTCTTTTGAGGAGGAGACATCTTGGGTAAGCCGGCCTACAATCCTCCATCACCATGTTTGACCGGCACTTGGAGGAGCAATGGGAAGGCAACATTGCTAAACTCCCGTTGGTTGAGAGAGGGTTGTCCCATTTTAGGAACGCGTTGACTTTTTTTGGACGCATCCCTTGCTAATCCACGGTTGATTGTAAAAAACCAGGGTCGAAATTTGCCACAAACTAGAAAGATCCGCGAAAGGCCTTTTTCCAAAAGGACCGCAACTCTAGCCAGGGTTCCCCCCATTTAACAAACAAAAGCTCCATGGAAAGTCCCGCCTCCTGAGTGCTCAACTCTTGTGATTGATAGCACTCTGCCACGCCCGTGTGGATGCGCGGGCAAGAGCACCTGGAGGCGTGCGAAAACGAACTGTTCGCATGGCGTGGTATGTGTCAACATTGGAAGGCCCCAAACATGGTCAAACATGGTGGCGTTCCTTTCCCTTCAAGCCAGCCTGCCTGCAAAAGAATCGACCGAAACACACAAACACACACAAATATAGCCTCTGTATGCCATGCCGCACATGGCGAGGGCATTTGTCTTGGATCGGCCAAGGGGCGCGGGCAGCCCACAGAACATACAGCTCTTCCTGGGGCTCCTCTCTTTCGCCTCCGCCTTCGCTTCGATGGCGCACAGGTGGCCTCGTGCGAATTTGGAACCCAAAAGGGAACCCAGCACTTCGGGGCCAGTTGCATGAAGGCCTCGAAACTTGAAGCAACGGAAGCCAGAAAGCTGCACAGGGGTCCCCTTAAAAAAGGAAAATGGTGTTTCAGGAGCCGCCGTGCAGGTTGTATGCTTGCTTTTGGGAGTACCCTCCCACACCACGGAACCTGGGTTTCATGTTGATGTGAAACCCAGGCTCCATGGAATTAGGGCATGAAACAACCTTTACAACCCTTTGGACCCTTCGATCCTGCTCCCTGAACACCAGGCGTCCCTTCGGACGCCCATTGCGCAGCCGAGGTGCAAAGCTCGCAGGCCGCTCCCTTGGAGCAGCCCATAGAGGTGAAGGAGGCCGGGCAAGGCAGGCAGTCCTTCGAAGCTTCCGGAAGGTAGCGGAATATACGGCACAAACAAAACATGGCTGCATACCTGGCTTCCCCTGAAGGTGGTGCAGTGCGCACTATCTTGGGTAGGCGCACGACTGCTTTTGCGCTCAAAGTGGTTCCCTTTGGATGGGGGTCCTTTGAGTAACCTTTAAGGCAACTTGTCTGGGTCTGTGGGCTGACATCTGCCAAATTGCCCTATACATGCCGGTTTAACAGGAGTCCCCAAATGCGTCTGGCTCGAAATGCTCACTTTGAGGGACCCAGAGCGAGAGCGATAGATATGTGCGTACGAATCATTCGTCGGACTTGGGGACCCTCTGGTCGACATCATTTGCCTGGGAAATTACGGCAACACTGTCTGAGGGCGTCCCCCATTGAAATCATCTAGGTATTCGGCTTGCTTGGCATAGCTTTCAACCGACTCAAAGTGAAACCGAACAACAACTCATGAATCCATGAACCGATGGTCTGTCGTTGGTCCCTTCGCTGGCTGATTTCAAGGCAGAACTCATGGTTCATCCACAAACCAAATGTTCAATGGGTCCAACATCTGGTTCCTGTTTATGGTGATCTTCAATCTTTACCCTTTTTCCAAAGCCCGGAACAAGGCATTTCCAAGCAAATAACCTACGTCATGGTGAGCAATTTCTGAGCAATGCTGGGGAGATGGGCGGCCTAAAAAACACCACGGGGTGGATCATTCCAAGTTGGCTGCGCTGACATTGGGTTGCTTTTGGGCTCCCGGGTTGAACTTGTTTTCCGTGTGGGCTGGCCAATAACAAAACAGAAATTGATCCAGTTCCCGCCCTGCCGAGGGGCACAGCTTCCCCTAGGATCCCCCTGCCCCCAACACCCCAAAGAACCAACTGGTGTCCCTCGTCAGTGGGTAGATGAGGAGGGTCCTATTTGGTGAAAAGCGATTGGAATTCTGCGGGAGGATCCTGTGGCAAAACATGTTCAATCGAAGCCGAGTAGTCCAACCGATGTTTTCCAAAAGCAACTCGTGGCAAACAAGCGCCCAACCAGTCAAACAAGCCAAGCCAAAATACGCATCAACCAACCAAAGGTAAAACCGCCACAGGACCTAATTGCCCCGTGACCCAAAAGCTGGAAAAAAGGAGCCCTGATTGGGCCATTTTTGGGGTCCCGAACCCACCAAGCCACTGAGCAGCTGAGAAGTCCCAATTCGAACCCCTCAGCTCGAGGTGCGGTGCCGTGATCAGCGGAGCCAAGTGAGGCGAGGGTGCCGACGTTGTGGGGCTCCAAGCCAGGCGGTGGCCGCCAGGAAAGCGGCTCCTGGGCTCAAAACAAGCCGCGCATCCCAAAAAAAGGAGGCCCCAAAGCCACGGGCTCGGAGGATGGGGGGCTCTTGACCGCGTTCAAACAAACCCCAAACCCTCCTTTTCCCCAGCCTAATCCCGAAGACCACTTCATTATGTTGGATGGTTCCACCAGCCAAACTAGTCCCCCCAAGAAGAACTGAGGGGTACATATCATAGGTAAGTAGCAGGTTATATCCCACCGATTGTTTATAAGCGATGCTTACCCTCCCATCCACGAACACGGAACCCGTTCATTAGGTCTGTTTGGAGGAAATGGTCCAAACCAGAACACATGGCATGGAAGGATATTTCATTGCCCACCACCCCCTTCCCACTTTAGAACCATGTGCATAAACAGGGTTCCCGATATTATGAATTGGCCCTAAAAGGGGAGGAATTAAACTGAGGCCGGTGTAGCAAACGCCTCAAGGGCCCAAAATGCGCCGTTCGCGCGGATGCCACGGGTCACTGTAGTGTTTCGTCCTTTCAGCAAAATAAACATCCTGAACCCCCGAAACGAGCACAAATTTCCGCCCGAGGCAAAAAAGTGTCCGCTTCTCCCGAAGAGCTCGTTTAGGCAACGGCAAAATGTGCTCGAGGCCAAATAAGCGCTTGAGTGAGCGCCGATCAGTGCGTGTTGGAGGCGCCAAACCTCACAAACCCACCAAGCGTGCCCCAATATGTCACATGTGTACACAGTTGACAGCGTCGAGCACCTGGAAAACTTTGCGGTCTCTTGGCCTCGGGACAACGGACTCACTGACACTTCTTAGAATTGCCTCGGTTGCGGGAAATTGCGCCCAAGTTTCGGGAAAATGCGCTCGAGGTTGCGGGTTGCAAACTGCCCCCAAAAATCTAAAATGCGCCGAACGTGCGCAGGTTTACTAGGCTTCCACTAAACATGTGTTTGTTGCCCGAACAGCACAGCTCGAGCAATTTCCCGCCCCACCCCCTGCTACACAGAGAGTATGGGCCCTGGGAGCACAACTCCCACACTCCAAATCCCACGGAAGTAGGTTTCTGCTCGAATGGCATCTGTTTCCTATGTTTGAGCTTCAACTCACCTGCCCAAAGTACCTCAAGCATAGGCCAAGGGGCCAAAATGACTGCGTTCACCTAAAGGGCCTAGCAAAATGAATCTATCTGGGCAAATGCTTATACACTCTTATAGCTTATAATTCACGAAAAAAGAAGAAAAAAGCAAAGAACATCCTCCTATGTTTATGCAAGAAACCATCCAGGGTCCCTTTTAGGGAGGATGCCTCACGGTCGGTGCGACTTGCCCAGAAATCGAAGCTCCTCGGGCACCTGATTCTGCGCCCGCCAGGCGGCCATCTTCGCCTGCCTATCGGAACGGAGCCCGGAGCCTGACTCGCGCCCGTGTTTGGCCCCAACAAGATCCGCCACCTGGCGGATGAACGGGTTCCTCGTTCCAGCCAAAAAACACTCTGGGGAAAAAGGGCGCCGATACCGGAGGCAACGGAAGGACCTAACCATATCTTCGACCTGGAAGGAGACCTGCGGCAACTGTTGGTACTGCTTTTGGAAGACAGAGTATCATCCAGCACATGAAGCCTGGGACTTCTGGATGTTAGTTAGCCATGAGCCATGGCTTAGCTCAAGAAAGTCAAACCGGGCGCGAGGTCACCATGACTGTAGACTTCAAGATTGCAAGAAGCACATCCAACCAATACAAATTAAGGTGAAGTCTAGTTCCAACTTGTTCCTCTTGCTTGACGCGTAGTTGGCATCCACACCCAGCGTTGGGCCATGGGACATCCACTTTCCACTGGAAAGGGCTGTTGGAAAGCCATGTTCCTCTGAAAGTGATCCTCTCTGCCGGGCGTGCCGGGTTCCATGGCAACATTGGTGGTTGCGTGCCTGTTAAATCACACCTACTCAGGTGCTTATCACCTACTAGATGGCTAATACAGCTGTGGCGCATACCCCTCCCTTTTGCCCTTGTAGATTTTTCCTTGGGCTCGGTTTGGGAGGTGCCCCTTCCGTGTTTTTTGGAGCAACCCTGGCTGTCACGTTCTCGCCCGCTCGTGTCGCCTCCGGTGCTTCGATTCGCCGGCCGGGCAGAGGTGGCAGTGCCCGCACTCCGCGGCGTTGCGGCAGCCCTGGCGGCTCGGTGTGGCAAAAAAACCACCTCGCGGATTCAAATCATCGATGTAATTACGCATGTGCGTATGTATGTGCAAATAAATCAATGTAGACATCTGTAGACATATTACATGCCGGTCTGGACACCCAAACAGAAAATATCGGCACGTTCACGTTTAGATTGACAAAGCGGGGAACATGTGTATGTGTGTTCCGTGTCAATTGCACACCTCAAGCAAGGAATCCCCAAAGGTCCTTCATGATTGATGAGCTCGCTTGACCTCTGAATAGATGAGCTCGATCAAATGTGAATCCATCTGCATAAACATGAACATATAACAAGAACAAGAGTCCACAAAGGGCGAGATAAGCTTACTCCAGTCGTCCAGAAGCATTATCACATGTATGTTGGTCTGTGCTTTGCCTGAATTGTTAAACAAAACCATGAAACAATTAATCGTTGTCATTTGCAGAGATCCATACCAAGAGTTAATCCATAGCAAACCTACCCCAAAACCAGGTAGCAAAGGCCTGATCGCCAAGCGCCTCTAATTTGCCGGGGAACGCTTGACATGGCATAAGTCTCAGAGTCTCAAGCTCAAAAGGTCAAAGCTTCGATTAGTTCAACTGCGTTCCTGCCTTTGAAAGCCAGCCAAGTTGCTTTTGTCCGCCCTGCTCTCCATGGCGGATACACAAAGTTTGTGAAATACCACAAAAGGGCCCCCACACTTCCAACGGTGGCCACAACGGCAGAACGCTCCAAAATGGGACCCATACTTGACCTATCAGGCTCGTCAGGCCATACGAACGTTGAATGGGCGGGCACTTCTCGGGGCTAGCAGGCTAGCCACTATAGCAGCCGGCCCGCTCGCTTCTCCTGAGTTGTCCTACTTGAGTAAAAACGCCTTTTGTTGGTCGTTTACAAGCCCAAGAGGTTTGCAAGTACCTGACAAAGCGCCAAGTCGGGTTCCAGCGGAGCTCGGATTGCCGGAGGCCTGTTTCTGATAGATGGTCTGAAAAAAGGCACCTGGTACCATCGATTTCCACTAATGATATGAAAGACAATCCATGCCTAAGCCTGGGTCACCTGAAACCCACGTTGAGCCAGACTAAAATTTTGAAGAAACCGAGGTCAACAAGAAACTTAACAAAAGCTTTCCATGGCCTGGGGCTTCCAGAACCAGGCGCAGGGCTTGCAGTTGCCGGTGCCGTGGAGCACCGAGCCCACCGAGGGCATCTGGCGCCAAAAGGGACACCCCCCACGGAAAAGCTGACAAACGTTGAAGCCGCTCCTGCAACCCGCCCCCCCGAAAAAGGAACCCACCTCCGATGGAAGTGAGAAACCTGACCAAACAAAAAACAAACAACACTTCCAATGAAAGTGGGCTCCGTTTGGTGCTTCTTGAGAGGGACATCCAGTGTGATCCGGTTGAATCTGGGTCACTCCCGCACCAATCCCAAAACCACCAGTCCAAACTCTTGTAATTAGGGAAAGGTGAAGAAGCTGCAATGGGCCGGAGTTGCTTGGCCGAATCAATATGATCTTGTGGGAGGCGTTTCTTTGTTTCTTATTTCTCAGACGTGTGGAGCGAGCTGCCGGGGTGATGTACCTGGAACAGCACCTTGCCGTTTTTCTTTTTTTTGGGGGGACGGTGTCTTGTCAGCAGGGCGTTTCAAAGGAGTCTAGCGAAGTAGCAAGGACTAAAACCTGCGGGCCGCTTCTCTGGGTGCAACATGGGGGGGTATAAAAACCAAACAAAATACACATCCCCTGCATTTTCCCTTTGGGTGAACTAAGAAATGTTGCTATTTAGCACTGCAGTTCTGCTTGGGAACTTCCACCGACTGCATTTCCGCAGGTTTGAGGCTTTTGGTGCAGCGCGAAAAGCTTGGGGCTGCTAGTCACTTGCCGGCATGGTGGTGCTTGGGTACAAAACAAACCTGATTGGCAACCCTGCCTTGGGAAGGGGCCAACCAAAGTCCAAAAAGTGATAGAGGTTGGATGGCCACGATCATGTTCTCAAGTGGGACAAACTTGGCGTAAACTAAAGAGGAACCTGCGCCTTTAGAATCTGCTCCATGCTAGAAGGACCCAAACAATTAATGGGGGGCATTAAGTCATGACTGATGATATAGTAAATGTGTAATGATTCAGCGCCTTAACCGACGTTTTCCAAGGTCCCGGCTGCCTGGCAGAAAAAGAAGTCGGACCCGTTTGTCAAGCCAACAAACATCTTGCCGGCTTGATTCCCCAAGAAATTGGCCTTGACTCCACCCCATGCAAAACGAGCTATTTGGGTCGCAGTCTCAAAAGGCCAACTCCCCTCAATACCAAACAAGGGATGTTAAATGCCTCCAAGTTTCGCCCCGTTTTGGGCTCCATGTTATTTTGCAGGGGCCCCGAATCCACTTCAGTCTCCACTTGACCAACTCTCCGAGCACCTCGTCGATGGCTGCGTCCAAGATATCGGCTTCCATCTGCGGCATCAGCTCCAACTGGCGGCCATAAAGGCGGCTGGCCGTGATACCAAAGTGGGCCCTCCCCATGCTTCCTTTGTCACTCTAACGCGGGTTTCCCTGGTATATCTCACAGAAACACCTCTTTGGGGTTGACCATCTTTACTGGGGAGCCCACCAAACAGAAGCACAAGAAGGGGGACAATCTTATCTCCAACCTGCACATCTTGCAAGCGAGACATTGATTGCCAGCTAAAGGAGAAGACAACTAACTACATCATGGAGAGCTCGTTTTGCCCCCGAGCCGGCGAGCTCGCCAAGGCAAATCATTTCAAAAGAGAGCCCACAATAGTTGCTATGTGCCTTACATTATCAGGTAGTGGTTTCAAGCTAGCGGAAATCAGTTGCTCCCTGAAAAACTGTTCGGCCAAGGTCCAAAGTTTAGGACCTAACAGTCATTGGTTCAGGGGAGTTTACTATTTTAGTGGGATATATCCTGAGTGACGCAAACCCTTGCCAAGTTGTCCAAACATCCAAGTAGCCCCACCCCCATGGTTCATACAGCCACGTGATAGAGATCTGTGTGCTTGATTGGGGGCAATTGGGGGGTCTAGAAAAATGAAGAATCACACATCCCCGTTTGGTTTCCTTTTAGCCCCGTTGGGTTGCCCTATAGGTACATTAAACATAAAATGAACCGTCCTACTAATAGGGGGGTCTCTTCCTCCAAACGTGATGAATCCTCCACAAAATGGGGCATCAACCAAGAATTCAATCTGGGAGTTGTTCAGTGACCCAGGTTCAAGGGAGCCAATGATTTTTGGCTGGTTGATTCTCTGTGGGGAGGCCAACTGGGTATCTCTCTCCAATAATTTTCCATGAAGAATCCACCCCACACTTTTGCACACAAATCCCCGCATGTCTACCAAAGGGTCCCCAATTTAGGTGTCCCTACATATTTCCCCTAAGCTCCTTTTGCCATCTTTTGGGCCACCACCTTTTCAGGGTCCCCCCATGAAACTGAAGAACCCCCCGAACCAAAAATTCCGCGCCTCGAGGCCTTTGGGCTCGGATTCCCAGCGGGGGACCGGGGGCACCGAGGCCTCCAAAGGGAACTCCAAAGGCGCCGTCCTATCCATCCGGCCCCGACCGGCCGAACGACCGGGGCGCCCGGTGTTTCGGACAGGTTGGCTGGCCCCAGAAGATTTTGTTTGGGGCCAGAAAGCACCCAAAACACTTTGGTTGGACATTGAAGGCAAGGGACCACGACTTCTTGTGGATTTGTTGTATTCTCTGTTTCCATAGTTTGATTAGGCGCGGTTCATTATCTTTTGCTTGACTTCTTGTGAGGAAAATCAAATGTGTCAGTTTGGTTGACTGAAACTTGGCCAAGCACTTTCAAGTTCGAGTCCAGGGCAGGCGGCTGGGAAGTTGGAGTTGTCAAAAGGATTCAACCTCGCAGTCACAAATACGGAACCTGACTCGGAGGTCCCATGACAAGCACAAGGGTTCGATCCCTAAACCACAAGTCTAAACCACCAATTGAGGGCTACCTGAGACGACGGAGTTGGTGAAATCGGCGGATTCCCCGTCCTCGATGGCGGCGGCACTGGTGGCATCGACATCGAGGGCGACAAAAGCGGGGTAATGCCCTCGGGCGCAAGTGGTTACCCAACTTAGGTTTTAAGCAGGTTGGGGTGCAAACGCTTCTTTGAACATCGGTAAACACATCCTGTAAAGGGTGACCAAAAAGAGGTAGGTTGTTCAAACTATGGATGCTTAAACCATGGCGATCAGTCTCCAGGAAAACTTTGTGATTTTGCGCGGGGTGGTTCTTCCAGGTTGATATCCTGAGAAAGGCACGAATGAAAACCCCACTGATATGGGAAAAGCAAACACCTCCCACCCCCGTGGAAGGACCCCAAGAACCTTTGGTCGAAAGGGCTTGCATCGAAGGGTGCTCCAACCTTTCGCCCTGTCGCCCTGCTGAACTAAACCAAAACAACTTACTCAGCCGAGGGGCGCTGGCTTGGTCTTCATCAGATTCCTCATCCGCGCGCTTCAGAGGCTCCTGCCGACGTCAGCTGCAAGCCAATGGCCAAGGGCTCGGATGTTGAGTTTTGTGTTGCAAGAATTCCGCAGAAACCTCTTGTTCAAACCGATTTTGCCGCACTGGTTTTGGCGTGGTCGTACCGCTGCCCGTCCCAGTGGCCTTCTTGCGGCGCTTGATCTCCCCCGCAGGGCAGAGGTGGCATCGCAAGCAAGCCTGTGGGGTTTGGAGCGGACGTCAAGGGCGTCCAACATGGAAGCATCCCTTGACAGCTTCAGAGGGGAAGCTGAAAACACACCTAGTTGCAATGTGTTTTTTCTTGTAGATAAGGGAAAAGCCAACTGCCAAACCAACTACTTGCGAAACGGCCTCTGAGTCAGGAAGCACCCATGGCCCATGACCTATCACTCGGGAAACATGGACTGGCCATCTTGTGCTTCTGTGGTCCTTTCAGAAGTGACCCTGCTTTTGCTTCTTAGGGAGAAACAACAATGCCGCTAGTTCTCAGTATGCGAGCATCCTATCATCCTACCTTGCGTGTCTGATGGTTGTTCAAGAAAACACTTGCCCCTTGTTCTGGTTGAAATGAGATGCTGCAAAGGGGAAGCCGTGCAATCGGGCGGCTAGGTGACAAAGAATCGGCTTATCACCTCTTAGCAAAGGGTCCATTTGAGGGATTTCGAAAGCCTCACGTTCCCGCGACTGGTGGATGTTCCATGCATGTACCTGTCTCTTCAATGGGTAACTGACAGACTACCATGTCACCTTGTTAATTGATAAAGAGAGAAGGCCACCCCCCTTCTAGATTCCTTGGATCAAAGGGCAGAAGCTTTGGACAACCAGGCACTCGGCACACACTCGAAATCCTAAGGGACAGGTCTCAAAAAGGGAGCTCCGCAGACAGTGGCAGTCTCCCCCCTCCAAACTTGGCACGGGGTACATCCAAGTAAACCGCAAATTGGTCAGATTCGTGATGGTTCGCCACCCCGTCAAAGAACACTATGCCTGGAGACTCCAAAGGCTACCATCGAACCGTACACATACCCGACGCCTGGCCGTTGAGGCAGCCCTGGGGCTTCCAAACCCAGGCCTCGCAGGTCTTGCACAGAGATGCCGAAGGGCGAAAGAGGGTGCTGGGACGCGGAAAACACAAGATCCTTTTTTTTTTCTAAAGCCACAACACTTTGGCACTTGAAGGTCTCATGTGTCAAAACGTTTTCAGGTCCAACTTGTTTGTCCAACTTCTTTCAGACAGAAAGGTGGGGTCAAACAAACAAACCCTGCATCGACCCTCTACTAGACACAATATGCATACTTTTGGTAACCTTGAAAGGCGCTGTCCGTAAAAACTCACACTGCCTAAGACCCGCGGAAGCTCCGAGGTCCGCTATGTGATGTAGACAGAGCAGTTGCAGATGCACAAAGACTGATCCAGATTTAGATTGTTGTTGCTTGTTGAAAGCCAAAATGAAGGAACACCAAGAAGGCAAACATACGATGGTAAGCTTTGTCTGGCAATGTAGAGGCTCAGGAATAGGAGGTGTAGGTATGTTAACATAAAACATTTCATTGAAAACAGTTCCGAGAGCCGACATGGGCCCTTCATGAAGAGTGAGGTGGCTTAACTCCCTCACTCTCGCACACGGGAAGCTTGTTATAATAAATCAGGCCGAACATCGTCTACCTCGCCATGTGTCTGGAATTCGCAGACTTCGTTCTTGGTTGCTTTCTTGCGATCTGTTGTACTTCTTTCGGGTTCCCTGTGCCCCTGCCCACTGTTGCAAGCCATGCCAGGGGTGCCTGCGAGCCCGCAAGATTCGCGAATCATGTCTGAGGGCTCGGGTTTGAGTGCCCTTCCGTCCCCTCTGGTTGGGGACAAACATCTGACACATGCAGCCGCTACGTGTCATAGTAAAAAGGACTTGCCGATTTTCCATTTTGTGGGTGGTGTATCTCATGTGTTATCGTCAGGCTTCTTTGACCCTTGGAGTCCTCCAAATTGGTCCAAGTGGAAGTTGCAGATACCCCATCTCCCAAATCAAAACAAGAAGAGATCCCGGTGTCTGTCGGTCGCAAAGCAATACCATTGTAGTTGATTCGAGGGACAGGTGCCAACAAGTGGGAGATGGCGAAGATTTAACGAGGTTCCACGAGGTTCCGAAAAGAATACATCCAAAAACACTGCACACAGCATATATCCACTCAGCCCACATGTACTTATGTCAGCAACGTCAGATTGCACCAAGTACTTGCATGCGTATCCGCACCAAAGTGCTTTTCTCATGCACCCAAAGCACATGATCGATCCATGCTCTGGCTGGATCGGGAATCCTCTGAATCAGCTGCAAGTTTGGTTAAAACCCGCGAAGGGCTTGAGGGTTTCCTTTTGCTTTCCCTAATGCACGAAAAGAATGGGGTACCCAGGCTCAGAGACAAACCCAGCTGGACCCGCTTCCGGGGGGGTACCGGATCAAGAAAAACAACAAACAAGGACCAGGATAAACAAAAACACAAAAACAAGCGGATACAAAACAATGGTATCAAAAAAGCAATAACACTTCAAAGTCTTACAGAGACATGTTCTGCAGTATAGGGAGACATGTTGTGTAGAGTAACAACACTCCCTTTCAGGGGACCCACGTGTTCTGGACCCGACTGGGGCGGCTGCGCAGGGCTTGCACAAGCCGCTGCCGTGCAGCACGGAGCCGCGGGAGGGGAGGACCGAGCTGCTGGCCTCGTTCCGGTGAGGCCAAGTTCTCGGCGCACTTCGGCGGTTTGAGCTGACGCAGACTTGGAACCCAAAGGCTGCTTTGATTCAGCGCTGCAAGCTTTACCATCTATCTCTGCAGTAAATTTCAAGTGTTGCAAGTGCATTCTTTCAAAGATAATTTTCCAGGTGCAGGAACAACGAAAGAGAGCTCCTGCCCCACTTTTTCGACCTGAGCTGTCTCTGAGCCCAAATGCGAGTTGGGGGGGGTGGACAAAAAAGGTTCACGCCTGCAATGGACCAGGGGTATGCAGAAGCGTTTTCTGATTGAGGCTAACATGCTGTGTACGCCAGTTGCCCAGTGATTCTGGTAGAACCAGAAATTCCCTTGTTCCAGGTTGATACCATGTTGGGAAACAAACAGGGATTCAGAGGGTGCCGTGCTTCAGGGTTGTTTGTTAGGGCCTGGCATCATCCCTCTCCCATTCCCCGTGCACCCCTTCAGCAAAAGTTGAGAAGGGTGCTGATCGAAGTGGTGTGAGTCTGAGAACGTTTCTGATGGGTAGAGGGCGTTAAAATCAGCCACATCGATTGGCTGGTCTTCCGCGAAAAATGTGAATGCTAGTTAATTGGTGGGACACAATGCATACCCCAATCCTCTGATGGGCTCAGCCGATGAACCATCAATTGCAAACACCTCGTGAGAGGGATCCTCCATGAAACACGACAACCTCTCCCCCTTCCCTTCTGCCACCTGACCCTCTCCCTCCCCTCTCCCACCCTCTCCCACCCCGCTCTCTCCTCTCCGCGCCTTGAGACCCTTCTCCTCATCCTCCGAAGTCTCATTCTCCGGCAAGCAGGTGGCCGGGGTGGGGGGCATCGAGAAGAAGTCCAGGACCTCACACGAGAACGACGTCAGCCTCTGCGCGCGGAACCTGTGGGAAACAACTTTCCCTTTCTCTTATCATATCAAACAACTTTCCCTTTCAAAAAGGGGCCTGTGCACCATGTCTGGTGACGGGAAAGTTTACGTGGTCGTCCTTCCAGAAATATGGGGGTTCAAACCCCACCATGGCTCCCCAAAGGTGGAGAGATCCGATTTACAATGGCAAAGGGCGGAAGCAAAAGTGAAGGTCAAAACCGTTCAGATTGCCTGACATTCTCCAACCAAGTGTTTGAATTCAGCGGAATTCCAATGCCAGCGACAAACAAACGTCTCACTTGAGCGGATTGAACAAACAAGTGGAAACCCTCCACCTCCAATGGAATGATCATGGAAAGATCATGGAATGATCTTCCTAAAAAGCGAAACATCCCCGGCCAAATCCGCCGACATTGTTCGGCGTGTCGGATACATAAGAGAGGACTATTGGATACCTAAGAGAGGATAGAGGATAACCCCCCCCTTAGTCCCCCGGGACACGTCAAATACGCATGGTTTTTCGGTCGCCACCCCCCCCCCCCCCCCCGCCCCCCGCCCCCCGCCCCCCCCCCTCCGATTGGGCTTCTTGCATCCTTTTGCCGAAAATCTGGAAAAACTCAATGTTTTTGGTCGTCCTCTTTGCGAAAACGCAGGAAAACCGTGCTTTTTGCGGAAAATACTGGGGAGCAAAGGGGAAGTGCAAGGATACATACATGCATACATTACATTACATTACATTACATACATGACATGACATGACATTACATGACATTACATTACATACATACATACATACATTACATACATTACATACATTACATACATTACATACATTACATACATTACATACATACATACATACATACATACATACATACATACATACATACATACATACATACATACATACATGCATGCATGCATGCATGCATGCATACATACATACATACATACATACATTACATGCATTACATTATATTACTTACTTACTTACATGCTTACATACGTGCGTACATGCATACATACATACATGCATACATACATACATACACACAGACATTACATACATACATACATACATACATACATACATACATACATACATACATACATACATACATACATACATACATACATACATACATACATACATACATACATACATACATACATACATACATACATACATACATACATACATACATACATACATACATACATACATACATACATACATACATACATACATACATACATACATACATACATACATACATACATACATACATACATACATACATACATACATACATACATACATACATACATACATACATACATACATACATACATACATACATACATACATACATACATACATACATACATACATACATACATACATACATACATACATACATACATACATACATACATACATACATACATACATACATACATACATACATACATACATACATACATACATACATACATACATACATACATACATACATACATACATACATACATACATACATACATACATACATACATACATACATACATACATACATACATACATACATACATACATACATACATACATACATACATACATACATACATACATACATACATACATACATACATACATACACATACATACATACATACATACATACATACATACATACATACATACATACATACATACATACATACATACATACATACATACATACATACATACATACATACATACATACATTACATACATACATACATACATACATACATACATACATACATACATACATACATACATACATACATACATACATACATACATACATACATACATACATACATACATACATACATACATACATACATACATACATACATACATACATACATACATACATACATACATACATACATACATACATACATACATACATACATACATACATACATTACATACATACATACATACATTACATACATACATACATACATACATACATACATACATACATACATACATACATACATACATACATACATACATACATACATACATACATACATACATACATACATACATACATACATACATACATACATACATACATACATACATACATACATACATACATACATACATACATACATACATACATACATACATACATACATACATACATACATACATACATTACATTACATTACATTACATTACATTACATTACATTACATTACATTACATTACATTACATTACATTACATTACATACATACATACATACATACATACATACATACATACATACATACATACATACATACATACATACATACATACATACATACATACATACATACATTACATACATACATACATACATACATACATACATACATACATACATACATACATACATACATACATACATACATACATACATACATACATACATACATACATTACATACATACATACATACATACATACATACATACATACATACATACCATACCATACCATACCATACCATACCATACCATACATACGTATATACATACATACATACATTACATTACATTACATTACATTACATTACACTACATCACATTACATTACATTACATTACATTACATTACATTACATACATACATTACATACATACATACATTACATACATACATACATACATACATACATGCATGCATACATACTTACCTACTTACATTACATACAAATATGCATTGGGGGGGGTGGGGAGGGAGAGAGGACAACAGAACACACAAGGGAGACAAGGGAGAGAGGAGGAAGGAGAAAAGGGAGAGGACAATGTCGGCGGACTGAGCCGGAGGCTCTAAAGTTGGGGGACTCCTGGCTGGAACGTGTGCGTCATTTTTGAGGGCATTCACTTTACAAAGGAAGCCCAAAAAGAACCTCCCCTCCCCAATTTTGACCCTCCCTGAGACAAGCCTATGGTGCCACCAACAAGCACGCAGCCTTCCTCATTTAGGACCATCTGTCAACCTGCCGACCAGTAGCATGGCTCTCGCACTCGGGGCCCAGCAGCCTGAGTCAGTCGACAAATTTCGGTGAAAACTCGGACCCTCAGCTGCCCCCTTCTCCTCTTGAAAAAAATCCGTCTGCTATTGAGGGTATATGATTGAACAGCCTAGTCTTCTGATGTAACTACGGCCCTTTTTGGTCAGGGCTTGACATGATGCCTTCAAATAAAGATGCACCGGGAATCTCACTTGCACCTGGCCACACTTGGTGAGGATTGAATTCATAAACAAGTGAAATAGATCTAAATTGTGGCTTGGATGCGTGACTGATAGCTGCTTTGGAGGCTCCTTTCTCCCCTTTGGCCTATCAAGAACCAGTGCTTCAATCCTCCACCCAGCACCAATTCAAGGTAACCCCAACCGCTTCAGAAATCATGTTAGAAATGGCCAAGATCTACAACAACATCGGTTGAAGATCAAAGGTCAAATTGACCTTGGACAAACCTGCAAGAGCCCAAGCAGCATGTGTGACTTGGCCGACACGCTAACTTGTTTCTGCCTATGTGTCCTACCCCTGAATTTGTCCGGGCCAGCCCCAAATATCAAAACGTTTGGCTTCTGAAAGTGCACATTCCCTGTTGAATGTCAAAAAGGTAAAGGTCACATGTGGCCCCCACACGAGTGCCCACCCTCAAGAAGTGCGGATTCCATCGGAAACTCATTTGGGCCACCTGGTTGCCACCCAGTTGGAAGCTCCAGCACAAGTAAACCAACTGGACACTCAACTAAACATCTCAAAAGGAAGCTCCAGCAATACTAAACTCAGGGCCTTTGCTTGTGCTCAACTTTGGCTTTGTCCACTAGCGGGCTTATGAATGTGAGGTAAACATGATCCTTCTGAAATAAGAGCAGCATTACTAGCCATTCTGCTCGAATTGACAGGGGCTCTCAGAATGGGGGCAACGCGATCCAAATCAGGTATGCTCTTTCCAGTTTGTGACTTCATTCTCGGTAAACCGTTGCCGTCAAACTAACCTGGCCCCCCAGCTGTGGAGGCTCCTTCTCGGAAAATCCCACTCTTGTTCCATGGTTGCAAATGGGAGAGAAGGGACAATGAAAGAAGCCCTTCAAAGGGCCGAGAGGCTTTGGCCCTTCTTGGAAACTGCCACGCGGATTTCTCCGTCTGGGCAAACAACTACAATTCATCTAAATCCCAGTTGCCCAAATGACCCAGAAGTAAAAGGTATGCGTTTTGCGGCCACGGCTAAACACAAATGACCAACATTGTGAAACCAGAAGGTCAAATGGTCGCTTGGCTTTGGGCAAGTGAGACATTGAGGAGTCCTCTAACAGGTCCGTCACCGGGGGCCCCTTAGTCTCACTGTCGGATCCAGGCTGCAGGGATCCCATCTTGGACTCCATGGAGACGGGCGGAGAAGGACCGGACTTGTGCCAGAAGGAGGGCTGCGGATCCACTTTGGGTCTGATCCAAGGGAGAAACGTGCCACTGAACAACAGGAACCCCTTGTTAAGCAGGGCTGGCTTCGGAGCTTAACATAGCAGACGCATTTCGAGAGGGTCTTAAAAAAAGCTTCTTGGTGACTTGGTGAAGGCATGGGGATTCCAGGGCTCAAAATGCGTCGTACAATTTCATGGTGGAAGGTTTCATGTTATGAAGGTCCGAACCCCAAAAAAAAAACGGTCAAACTTCCTAAGTTGATTGGTCACGTCCAAACGAATCGATGTCCCTCCGAAGAAAACATGTCAATACAGTGGTAGGAAGTAAGCAGTTCTAGGGCAACTTGGCTTCGTGAAGTCTTCGGAGTAGTCTTCGGAGTGCCATTCCACCGGTGATTCCATCCCGGC